CCTACAAGAAGAAAGCAGGATGAAATTAGAATTCAGTAGAAACAAAATCAGACTGGGGTGCATCTTTAATGTCTTAACCAGTCCATTGGGAAGCTCTGACACAAACACTGCACATTGAGAGGTCCTGTGCTGGCTGGAGACAGTGAGTCCTTGAACCCCCACTCTGCTCCAAGGAAACATGTGGCTTTGGCTTGAAAGCTGAGTCAAATCCTTTCTAGAAAGGAAATCTGAGACTATCTCCATGGATGCCACAGAGTTCTTAGTCAGACATGTACTACAAATATCCTCCCCAATATGTGCCTTGCCTTTGCATTATCTTAGGGGCGTTTTGTACAATACTTAAGCACAATTTATCTATCTTTTCTATGATAGTGTTTTTTTGGTGTAATGTTCAAGAACTCTTTGCCTATTCCAATGTTATGAAGAGATGTGGCTCAAACAGTAGAGTGTCTGCTTTGTAAGCACAAAGCCTTGAGTTCAAACCCCAGTCGCACAAAAAAAAAAAAAAAAAACTTAGCCAAGAGTTTGGATCCAAGGTTACTGAGAGCAATTAATGGTTTTTAAGCACAAGTATGGGTGGCCTGATGTGCACTCAGACAGATGACTGAAGTAGCAATATATTTGAATGGTTTTTTAAAGGGGACAAAAGTATATATAGATGCAATACTTAGGACATCATTCCAGTAGTTCAGATGAGATAGGATCAAGACTTGACTGAGGACAATGGCAGTCAAAATAAAAAAGGCTGGGAAAAATTTGGGCTAAATGTGATCCTGGGACCACAGGTAAAATATGAGAGTGGGTGAACGCACTCAGGGAGTGAATGTGGGTTGAGAGGTATGCATCTTTCCCAACTGCTCTCATTTTAAATTTTCCTAGCCCTTTATCTTTTTTCTTTTCAGGATAGTATTGCCCACTATATCCCGGAGCTAAAACCCTATTAGAAATACTATGTTTACTAGTCTGACATTATATTTGTGACTATAAATTTCAAATGGGCATTCAGTACAGCTAGGGAAACCTAAAACGTTCCGCTTTCAGATCCTGTCTTCAGTTTCTCCTCTTTCTTCAATCTTTCATTCCCTCTTTGTCCTCTATTCTCAGCTGAACTTTAGGTCATACTTACTTAAAAAAAAAAAAAAAAAGGAAAAGAAAAAGAAAAAAGAAAGCAACTTAACTGATCATACTCACCTCATCTTCATACCATGAAGTCCACCAGGTTCACTGCATACACTCTGCTTCCTTTCTTGTTACAACAAAAGTATTCCTATTTCAGTCTATGACCAATTTAACCCCTTATACTCTGGAACTCTGCCTTTCTCCCTTCCTCACTCGTGTATTTACCGTCCTTCTCTCCATCATCACCAATTTCTCCTTCACAGCCAAGTTAGTCCCATCTTTACATAAACATACTTGATATCACCTTCTGGAAATAAAACTTCTGTGCCAAAAACTGCTAGTGCTCACTGATATCTGTTTTTGTTTTTAATTTGAGACAGATTCTCGCTATGTAGCCCACGCTGGACTCGAACTTATGATCTTCCTGTTTCAGCTTCCTGAGTGCTGGAATTTTGACACCTTTTTTGTCTCTTTTTCCTGGGAACAAATTATATTTCTCATCCTCCCTGTAGAGGCCCTGTGAAGAGCAGGCTGTGTCCAGAAGTAATGACTTCTACTTTTAGGCATGGACCACACAAAGCTCTCATTTGTGATTCTGTACTCTCTTTGCTTTTGCAAGGCAGCCTTAAAGGTGTTACATATTGGTGCTACAATGTGGAAGGCATCTTAGTCACTCCTAGTGGAGAGCCATCCAACTGCCACTGGACTGTGAGTTAACCTGTTGTGATAGCCTTTAATGAAATATAAATCCACATCCTCCTCAGCTATTGTCCCATTTCTGTTTCCTTTACCACTCTCTAAAAAGTTTTTTTTTTAAAGTGTAAAGCGGGAGAGTTTATTGAGATAGAAAAGTCTAAGGCAGGAGAGTAGAGTGCCCAGAGTTGGGGGGGGGGTCCCAACAGAGGGTGCCCCTAAAAAGTTTTTTATAAACGTATTTCCATCAGTTTCTTCTCAACCTCTTGTTCCAATTCAGCTTTCATCCCACCATTTTAATGGCATAGTTGGTATAAAGGTCCACTTTTTCTTTTTTTTTTGCAGTACTGGTCTTTGAACTCAGGGCCTCACCCTTGCTAACCAGGCACTCTACCACTTGAATCACTCCACCAGCCTCCCCCCCCCACCCACTTTTTTATTTTCTTTTTCGAGATAGGATCTCTCTATGTAGCATGGGCTGGTCTCAAATTTATGATCCTCCTGCCTCAGCCTCCCTGGTACTGGGATTACAGTCATGTACCACCATGCCCAGATAAATCACATCTACTTTGGCAAATTCAAGGTTATTTCTGTATTCTCATCTTTTTCAAGATGTCAAGGTGACCCTGTCACCAAAATATCTCACTAAATCTGACCTCTTTTTTTGCCATCTCCTCTGCTAAAACACTAGTCCAAAGCACTTTTATTTCTCACAGACTACTGCAACAGCCTCCTAACAGCACTGCTTTTACTTTTGCCCCTAGTTAGCATATACTAACAGTTTAACACATCAGCCAGAACAAACATCTCAAAATGTACTCATATATCAACTATGTGCTTACATTTTTCCAATAGTGTTTCATGTGCACCTAAAACAAAATCCATCTTTCATACCATGGCCTACACGCCCTTCATGATCTGGCTCTTGCTTACCTCTTCAACCTCATTCAAGTTTACTATAGTCCTACTGGTCTTCCCTTAGTCCCTCAAAAAAGCTCTTTCCTATCTCAAAGACTTGGTGTGTGCTGTTCCTCTGACTGAAATGTTCTTTCCTTTTCTCTTCCTGTGGATGCCTCTTTCTATCACTTAGAACTCACTCGGATGGCATTTCCTAAGAACATCCCTTTCTCTCAGTCACTTTCTACCCCCATCACTTTTTCTTTGTAGCAATAAACTTAACAAAAAATGTAGTAATAGTATTTTAAATGAGGTCCAGGCATAGTGGCATGTGTCTGTAATCCCAGTACTCAGGAGGATGAGGCAGGAGGCTTCAAGTTTCAGGCCAGCCTGGGCTATTCAGAAGCCTTCTGTCTCAGAAATAAATAAAATTACCTTATTAGCTAGCATGCTTGATGCTCTCATGTAAGACATGACTGTTTCAAGACAGAGATTTTTATTTTGTTAAGCTAGTGTATCTACCTTAATCTAAAAGGGCATCTGGCACAAAGTAGGCATTTGTTGAATGAATATAATCAAAGACTATACGTCCTTGCAGAAAAATAATGGGGGATTCATCTCCATAAAACTAAACACAACAAGCTGCCTATCATTACAGGTAATGGATCTACCCCCTCTCCCTCATAAGCCATGACAAATCTTTGTGAGAATTAAGCCTAGGCTCCTGGCTCCAATATACAAACTTCTTATTACCTTTCCTTTGGCTAAAGACAATTAACATGTAGGAAATAGATTGTATTACCTGGCCATATGAGGTGCTTGGGTTTTTTGCTTGTTTGTTGGTTTTGTAGGGCAGGTTGGCTTCCAACTCATTCCTCCTGCCTTAGCCTTAGGAGGGCTGGAATCAGAGGCCTGAGCTAAGGTGGCTTTTTGTGTGTGTGTGTCTTTGCAAGCTTTTTAGTGGATTGTCTATGATGTGCACCACAGTGATTTAATGCTTACCCAACAATAAAACTGATACATTCTTTTTTTACTTTGTACCTTTTCCGGAGAGGATATTTTGAGATTGGGAGACTTTGATTCTTTCCTCAAGTGGGTCCGCCAGTTTCAGGGAGTTGTAGGCTGGTATTGTCTGTCTGTCTCCCTCCATACTTACAGTAAAGGGCAGGCAGAAGCTTTGGAGCCAGGCAACCCTAGTTTTAAACTGTGCCTTTCCTTTTACCAGCATCCTGAAGTATAGACAAGTTACTTAACTTCTCTAAACCCCCATCAACTCATCTATACAATGCAGATAATAATACACCAGAGATCAAGCAAACAGGTGCTTGCTAAAAGAAATAAAATTGGATCTTTTAATGCACTGTGTTCGTTCCATTCCCCCTTTCCTAGTGACTATCTGACAAATCTAGGGACAGTGTCCACTTACGCTGCTTAACGAAGCAACGAACGTGCAGTGTAGATGTGAGTTAAACGTTTTAGTAGACAAAATACGTAAGGTTAACCGAGCCCTCGCCATGCAGATACAAAGAGGGAAAAATCGGACTGCGGGGGTCCCCGTACGCAAATTCGCGAACGACAGACGAACGCTGGCTACAGCCGCTTCCGCACTTCCCTTCGAGGGCGCACCGGGACGCCCGCGCTCCAACGCGCGCCGGAGCGGGGGCGCAGATTTGCATGTGCGAAATCGGGAAGAGGGGGAACCACCTATCGAAAACCCCGGGCCGTCCTCTCTGCTCCCCTCCCAGCCCGGAGGCCAGCCCCGCCCGCCTCCAGGTGCTCCCGAGCGGCCGGCCGGCCCTCTCGACATTACCGCACCCTCCCACCGCTCCTGAACTTTAAGCCACGCTCCGAAGAACAACCGGAGGAGGGGGATTTCTCAGGAGCCCGCGGCCTTCTCACGCGCGGGGCCGTCACCTCACGGCTCCTGGCGTTCTCAGCATTCTCGTGCCGCCGCCACTACACAACTCCCTTGAACCTTCCTCACGCAGTAGCGCCGGAGGCGCGGGCACGGGCACGGGCAAGGGGGGCGCGCGGGCACGTGGAGCGCGCGGGGGCGGAGCAGAGGCGGGGCGCGGGCTACTGTTCAGCGCGGGCGCGCGCGCAGCTCCACCCCCCTCCCCCCACTCCCCGCCTTCGGGGTAGGCGGCCGCGAGGGTCTAGCGTCAGCCGCGGGAAATCCCCTTTCCGCCAGGCAGTCAGCTCCGCCCCCTGGACGGGCGTCGCCCGTGACCCGAGCGCGAGAATTCAGGGGGTGGGAAGGTGTGAGCCGCAAACACAGAGGAGGACGGGAAGGAGGAGGAGGCCTGGGGTGTTCAGGGGCATTGGGAGTCCCGGCGGCAGAGGTTGGGCGGCCTGCTGACTGATTGATTGACTTGACGATTGACCGCTGACGAGCAGGCGGCCTGGGGCCAGGCGCTTGCAGCTGCCGGCGGCGCGGCGCGAAGAGCGGAGCCATGGCCTCCGGTGAGTGTCCCCGGCGCGGGGAACGGGGGACCCCAGGAAAGCTCGGGGAGAAGAGGGAGAGAGGTCTGGCTGCTCTGGGTTTCGGGGCTTCGATTTGGATGGAGTACATTCTAGCTTTAAAATCGCTTCGTCTGACAAATTGTCAGGCTTTTTTTTTTTTTTTTTTAAAGTTACCTGTTTCTGGGTTTGCGTGCGAAATCAAAGCCGCGCTCTGTAATCTGATCCCATGGTAATAGCCGGAATCTTAGAACTTCCCAATGACTTGATTTTAAGATTAGGGAAATAATCGAAATAAGGAAGGACGGAGTGTTCTCGTACCTAAAGGTGGGATTGGATTGAAACGCGGTTTTATATTTTTAGAACAAAACGAAGGAGCCTTCCCGCTCAGGCCGGCTCTCTTCCGTTTTAAGATTAATGGTCCCAATGGTGATCGATCGCTCTCAGGCCGGCTCTCTTCCGTTTTAAGATTAATGGTCCCAATGGTGATCGATCGCTCTCGCGCCGACCCTGGTCCCGGACGTGGCGCCGCAGTGGTGCCCTCGGCGACATCCTAACAAGTTTTCAGTGGACACTGGTAATTTTCACTGCGAAAACTGAAGCGCACGCTTTTCTAGTTCTCCGAGTAGAGATGTGGAATCCCCTCCCCCCATCGTTAGCAATAAGGGGGAAAGGCAAGTTTTTTTTAAAAAAATGGGTAGGAATGCAAGCAACTTGATCACTTCATGTAAATATTTATTTGCCTTAATATATGCGTGGCTCTCACTCAGCAGGGAAGCCAGTGTATAAGAAACAGCTCACATGGCAAGGGAGGGAGCCTAGTGTAGACAGCCGTGGTGTAGGCTGCCTGTCATCTGAAGCGGGTAGATCTGGGAGACTAGGATCAAGTTGGATCAGTACCAGGCTTTTGGCGGTGTGTGGGGGGACAGCGGCATGGGCAAAGGCGCTGAAGGTTTGGAAGGACACTTTAAGGCTGTACCCCGAGACTGAAGAGGGGGCTTGGGTGTGCTTGACCCGCATCTGCCCAAATGCCTCCTTCAGTGACCCTGATGGGAGGCTGATGTTTAGTAGAGAAGAGGAAGTAGAAAGCTGCAGACTCTAAAGGACTGAGAAGAACAATGCCACAGCTACTGCTGTAGGTTGAAAAGGAAATTGGGGTGTTTCACATGACATTTGATTTCAGTTTGTCTGTGGTTTTCATGTGAGAATACAAGTGTAGTTGAAAATATTTCAACTTTCTCTTTACCCACTTAAATGACCCCAAACTTTCAGATAGTATTGTAAATTCATGTATTCAACTCATCTTTAGATGAATAGTAGGAAGGTGACTTCAAATATTTGGTTTTAATTTATTAGTTATCAGAGGAGATTTTGTATGAAAGTCATATAAGTGTGGCAGGCATTGTAAGTAAAAAAAGGTCAGCTATTTAACCAGACGTTATTAATATACTACATGAATGTAATACAAAATGTTTTTTCAAAAGAGGAACAATCATTTCTATATAGAGTACTGTAAGTACCACATGATTTTAAAGCATGATAAAATTTGAACTTTACACTGTATGTTGTATTGCTATAAGACTGGGGGCATAAGCTCAAGTGGTAGATCCCTTGTCTAGCAAGAACAAGGCCCTGGGTTCAATCTCCAGTAGGGATGTGGAGGGGAAGAAAAAAAGGGAAGGAAGTTATTCCCTAAATTGAAGGGAAAAAATGCAAAGGAATGGAAAGTTATAAAGATTTGGAAGTTGTGGGGTGATTATCTGTTTGTTTTGGTCTTTTCTCAAAAGTTACATTAAATGGGACTACTTAAAATATAGCAAATTGTTTAAATTTTAATTTGGTTAATTGAAAATACTAGATAAAAAAATGTTTAAAGAAGTCTGGTTATGTCTTCCTTAATCAGTTATAAAGACCTTACAGAGAAAAAAAAGATTCACTAAACAAATTATAAATTCCCATCCTATTTTGAAACAGTAATTTAACAGTGTCAGAGAAATTTGCTTAATTAGTTTGTCATTGTCTAGTTTAGCATCTGTTTGTAGTAAGATAGTATTGAAACCTCAAAAAGTATTTTTATTGACTGCCAGGTATTTAAGACCATTTGTTCATTTCCCACCTATGTTATATGTAAATAGGGATGTGTAGTTGAATAGGTGGTACCTATAAATGTAAAAGTGACAAATCATAATCTCATAAGCAAACTTAATATAAGTGCTATGAGTAGCTGGGACTTTATATGAAGAGTCTAAATTATGTTCAGGTAAATTAGATTAATTATTTAGGATTTCATGGATCAGTTATTAAGCTACTTTTCATTGCCCTTTTTTAATTAAACATTTTGATTCTAGTGTTGTGACATTGATTAGAATAGTCAAAGTAAAAAATGTTCCCAAACCCATTAAAGGTATGCAAGTTAGACAGTCATCATTCTTGTACAATTATGATTCTTTTCTATTTAAGTAAAGTTAGATATTTTGTGTCTGAAAGTTAGATATTTTATGTTAGATATTTTATGTCATTTCAGTAAAGAGAGCAGAATGACTTTGTGTAACACATAGCTAATAATTAGTACTGTCTTTAGCAGAATGCTTTAGAATTTAGATAATTTTTATTCACACTTTTCTTTAGTATGATTCTTCTGTGTCACATAATAGGAAGTATATGGAGAGACTTGTAAACCATGCTACTCATCAGGTCTTTGTGGTATGACTTGCATGAGAACTAGTAAGGGTAAAAATGGAGGTAAGTGTAGGGCAGCTTACTCTTTAACAATAGAGCTGGAAGTTAGGAATAGATAGCTCAAGCAAATGATTTCTTTTTTCTTTTTAGAGTAAAAGACTACAAACATGAATGTTGTTTCAGAAATGCAACATATGAAAAAGATATCAGTAGTAAAAAAATTAGAGCGATATATAATAAAGAGAATAAAGTGAACGAAATGACTAAGGGAAGTTACAGAGTGAATCTTAATTAGAAACATCTGCATTATGTTAGTGTCTTTCTCAAGTACAATTTAAGGGATTCAGAATTTCATTTTCCAGCCTTCTTCCATTTATATTCTCTACACAATTGTATTTATAGGTACATCACTCAAATGCAGAGGATATATTTATACTAAAAATGTTTATTTGAAATTCATATCTGGGCCTCCTGTTTTTTTTTTTTAATTTAACATTTTTATTAGCATATATAAGTTTTAGGGGGGATTTCATAGCTATTCAGCTCTGCCCCGTATTTTAAATTTAAATTCCTGCATAATCTAGGACAGTTTTTAAACATTTCTCTTCTTTTTCACCCTACCAGATGAAACAATTTTCAAATCTTAATTTTTTCCCTCCCCCATAGTAGTGGAATTTCTATTACCAAAATCATTTCCATCTTTTATTTACCTTGTGACTGCATACATCAGCTGAAAATTGTTACTTGGATTCTTAAGACCCATTGAAAGTCATATGGTTGTATTAAAACATTTTGATAGAATTGGAGAAAAAGAATAGTTCTTACTATGTTTTTTCCAAAGTGAATAGAGACAGTATTTGGAAAGGTGTGTAATTGTTAGCACTATTTGCACCTTTGGGTCCCAGGCAAAATCTGTTACCCAGGACCTCTTTGAGGAGAGTCACTCTAGTCAGCTATTCTTAAACTTGGTGTTTTGACATATTGGTTGTGACAGTCATTTGTATGCTGTATTGCAAGAAATAATGTAGTGACAATTCTTAAAATATTTATTTAGTAAATGATTTAGTTTTTAAATAGAGTAGTTTGAAGGGTATTTTCAAAATGTCTTTTTCTCATGTTTGCATTTGAATAAGTTTGTTTTCTTTTTTGAGAGGGAGAGAAAAAGGAGTCAAAACTAGCCAGAATTGCTTTGCTTACTTTATCCATTGACCCAGTACATACTTGCACCTGAACTTTAGATTGCTTCTCCAGATAAGTGCAAGTCTTTTTCACTTCTGAATGTTTTAGGGCAGTGGTTCTTAATCAGGAGAGTGTTAAACTCACGCCCAAGACTTTTTCAGAAATGAGCGTCTGGGCTAGACTCTTGAGTTCTACTTCTCTTAGGTCTCTGGTGGGGTCAGGACATGTCCCTTACCTGTTTTCATGCTTGTGGTTTTTTTTTTTTTTTTGCCACCCTGGAATGCCAGCTATTATATTAACTAATGTCATCATAATTTCTTTTTCTTATAAATTCATATAATTTTTAACTTTAATTTTTATCATCTGTAAATGGAATAATAACACCTTTCTGTTTTTATGAAGATTAAACAAGAATAAATGAGAAAAAACATATAAATACTTTAAAATGGTGTTATAATTACTACATATAATTAACATTTTTTTTCACCATACACTTAATGCTAGTTCCAGATTCTAGCAGTGATATTTTAATGAATGTGTCTACTTCTGACAATGATGATCCACTTTTAACTTATTTCAATGTAATTTCTTTTTTAATTTTAAAACTTGTATCTTTTTACATAGTCATGTTTTAAAATAGCACTCTTTTTTGCCTAGGCGTAAATAAATCATAAATGTATTTTGCAGACATTTTGGCTGTGTTTCAGATGTTCTTCAGGTTTGTATTAGCATTTTACAATGCTGTTCAAAATATAGGGGTCAATCCTAGCTTTGCACAATATTGGTTAAAGAAAAATACAGTAATCAAATTGTTTAGAACCAATTTTAAAGCAATTTCAGTGCTTTCAAAACTGTAGTGACTTGTAATCTTAGGTAAGAGTACTCATTTTTCCTGCAGTTCCCTGATACATGTTTTACTTTCTTCCATTCCATAGATGACTACATTTCAACATTTTTTATCTTCAGGAGAGATGACAATGCAAAACAGTACAGAGGAAGGAAATAACTGATGCATTGCACTGATACATGATCTAAATATATATAGCTAGGAAGTTTTTAAAAAATCATAAATACAGATTTAAGAAATCAGAATATGAATGGTGGTCTGGAGACAAGGCTCAAAGGGGTAGGGCACCTGTCTAGCAAACACAAATCCCTGAGTTTAACTACATCCCCCACCCCCTCACCACACTAACAAACAAGTGAAAAAAGCAGAATATGAATGGATATGAGGAAGTAGCAATTCTAGTACCTACAAAGCACTATATTTTTCCATCATAGTGAAATCTAATAAGGAAGATCTGATTGTGTAGTCTTAATTTTCAAATAAATGATACAAACCAAAAAATCTTCAGATTTTTGGTCATTCACTAAACAGATGTTTACTTCATACTGCATACAAGGCACTGATGAGTATACAATTTTGCTTTCAAAGAAATGGAACAAGTAGCTTTAATTCAAGAACAAATAAAGCTGGATGTGGATGCCTGTTATCTCAGCACTCAGGAGACTAAGGCCAGGAGGATTATGAGTTTAAGGCCAGCCTGGGCTACATAATGAAACCCTGTCTCAAAAACCAAAAAACCCAAAATAGTTAATCTTCCCTAAATTGAAGTTGCTTGGAATAATTGCTGTAAACAAAAGTACTATGATTATTTACAGGAGGACATTAATTCCAGGTAGGGGAATGTAGAATATTACTGTAAATTCTGTTACTTTGTTGTTAAACTTTTAACCACTTAACAGCTTCTGCAAGAGGAAAAACAAATTTCAAAGATTTTTAAGTACATGATATATGACAACTAGTGTTTATATTATTTTCATTGTTTTAAAAATCTTTTAAAAATATTTCATTTAAACTTTTCAACAACTGCTTTTCTGTTCTTTTGTCTGTATACTTCATAAATGCACTATTTGGTTTAAATAAGTGTCATGTAGCCTATGAGATATTTGACTGCTCACTTTGAATACTGACAAGGAACCTAGCACTTTTAAACCCCTCCTCTGAAGGAGTTAATCACTTACCATTAATGATGTCATTCTGTGTCAGTTTCCCACCAAGACATCTTTTAAAAAGCAGTGGGCAGGGATTTATTTGACCTTCAGTTCAACCACATAAATTATTTAAGATGTCTCTAAAAAAATACTGTTGATTTTAACAGTTACTGAAGGGAAAATGTATACTGTTAAATGTCCCTACAAGAACATCTAGGGATTTGAAATATTCGAAATTGAAATGTGAATCTGAAATATACAAAAAAATGTAAGTTGTGAAATACTCATCTATATACTGTATACCTCTCAGTAATCAAGTATTATGAATGTGATTGGGTTAGTCAACTTTTTCCTGGCTCTTTGTCTTTTGAATATACAAACACAAGGAGTCTGAATCAAGCTGAGTAAAATTAGGTAACAATAATATTTTATTCAGTAACCCAAAGTAGAAGCCATTAATGAGTCTTTAATTTCTTTTTGATACCTAATGTTTAGGTAACAAATGCAGTCACTTTTATCTTTTAAATAATCCTTCCATTCCTATTACCACTGCCCTCATTCAGACATGCCCTCATCATTGCCCACATGACGGTCCTCACTTATCCACAGTTTCACTTTCCTCATTACTAGTGGTCAACCACAGAGCAAAAATGTTAAATGGAAACTTCTAAAAACAGTAAGTTTTACATAACTTTCCTTACAATATTTTGTTATAATTATTCTATTTTATTAATTATTGTTAGTCTCTTATTATGCCTAATTCATAGGTATTAGTACCTATGAATTCAGTACTATCTGAATTTTCAGGTATCCACTGGGGATGGCTTTTGGGGGGACTACCATATTACAGTGGTCTCTAAACTGACCATCTCACTTTCTCTTTTCAATCTGTCCACTGCCACCAGAATTCTATTCTAGAATGCTAATCTTATCATATGGTTTCCTTGCATAAAAATATTGATTCCTTTTCACACATAAAATGAAATCCATATCACTATAGGTTCTTCTGACTTTTCCTGTCTAAGAATGGAACACACTTCCATTGGTGACTCTTAAATAAACCCTTCTATGGACACACAGACGAATGCCTTTCCTAGAATGCCTTTTTCTATTGCTTCATTATCTCTTTTCTCCCTGACATAGCTAGACATTCCTGACTCCTTTTGCTTTTATCATTTTCTGCAGAATTCTGATAATACTTTCCTCAGTTTTGTAGTCTAGTAATTTGTGGTGTTTGCCTCACTGTTCTGTAAGGTTCTCAGGGTAGCAGTTGTGATAGTGATGGTGTCATTATATCATTTTCAACAAAGCATCTGAAATAATAGTAGTTACCATGTTAGTATCTGTTACATGTATGACACTTGGTGAGAATTTAGCAAATATAATTATTAATTCTTATGACAACCTTATGAGGTAGTATTATTATTATTATTATCAGCTACCATTTTACAGAGGAGGAGACTAAGATTTTGATAACATTTCCATGGTATTAAGAAGCAGCAGGGTGGGATTAATAAGACCTTTTCCCATACTGCACTAATAAGGCCCATTGTGTTATCCTTTCTGAAAATTGCATTCCAACAGAATAAGCCTTACTTAGTGAAATGGATTTATAATAGTGGAAATTTAGAAACACTAAACAGATTGAGGAAGTTTTTTGGGGGGAATAGAAGATATCTTTACACACCTTGAATAAAAACTCATTGTTAACTCTCTTGTAAGCACAATTGTCATTATTGAACTTTTATTTCCATTATTTGGGTGATGAAGAGTAAAGACAGCTTTATTGATGTATAAATTTTGCATGTTTAATTTGCTATAAGTGTCCAATATCCCCAAACATTCCCATCCCCCACACCTCTGTTTAGGCACCTGGTGATCTCCATTCTTTCATTATAGATTAGTTTACATATTCTAGAATTTCATATAAATGGAATTATACAATATGTGTGTTTTTGTGGTCTTTCCACTCAGAATAATTTTGAGAATCATTCATGTGTTTATATGTATCAGTAGTTAATCTTCAGGGTGTATGTTTTGAATTATATATATGTTATAAAAATTACTTTCTTTTTCCTGTGTTGTGTCTTTTTTTTTTTTTTTTTTTGGCAGTATTAGGGTTTGAACTCAGGGCTTTGGTTTTAGATGTACTTTTGTGCTTTTGCCTGGGCTGGCCTTGCACCAGGATCCTCCTACCTCTGTCTCCCACATAGCTGTGATTACAGGCATGCATCATCATGTCTTATATTTTAGAATAAGTTTAGATGGGACTGGTTGAAAATTCTTTCTAGCCCAAAGTCCCTTCTGGGCTTGTGTTGGTATACTACAGACAAATCCTTTAATGTTTCAAACTTGTATATGTTTCTGCAAGGATTTAAACACATTTTCACTTTCAATGAATGATCTGTTTATCCACTAAAGAATGTAATGTAAAATTAAAGCAGTTAAGTACATTTTACTCACTTTTGGAGTATAATTTACTCACTTCCTGAATACTATCTTCACCCTTTAGGGGAATATTGGAGAAAATCCTTCTGCTTATTCTCACATGTACATAATGTACATAATCCCCCAAGTGATTATCTCAGAATTTTAGCTGTAGACATTAAGCAATAAAGTGCTAATCAATCAATATGATTTGAATGACTTGTATTAACACTACATAGAAGCTCAGTTTGAGTGGGGAAAAAGGTGTCTTTCTCATCTAATTGTGGATAATTACATTTTAACCTTGTTGGGAAGGAAAATCTTTGTTTTAGTCTGCTGTTTTAAAAAAACAAAATTGTTAAAAATCCATTATATTGCTATTGTAAACTCATTGCCCCCCTCCCTTTTTAAATTTGCAGGAGGGTTTAACCCATATATAGAGATAATTGAACAACCTCGGCAGAGGGGAATGCGATTTAGGTACAAATGTGAAGGGCGATCAGCAGGCAGCATTCCTGGGGAGCACAGCACGGATAACAACCGCACTTACCCATCTATCCAGGTAAGAGGCCTTTCCCCTGTGTCTAGCTCGCTTTTGGTTGTTCCAATGTTAGCTTTGGCAATTTTATTAAAAGCTCAGTTTCTTCCCAGTCACTTCCACAGTCATCTTCTTTTACTTTCTTTTTATTTGATCTATATTAGTAACATCCTTATATATAATACAAAATCTGTCTTGCTGTAGATAGTTAAATGTTGTTTGTGTATTACTCTAAATAGAGTGATTTACAGTGCTTAGTGTACACTGACAACTTTTATGAACAAAAAGCATTTTTGTTTGGCATTGCTGGGATTTTGAACTCAGGGCCTCATGCTTGCTAAGCAGGTGCTCTATCACTTGAGCTACTCCACCAGTCCTTTTTTGTGCTGAGTTTTTTCAAGATAGGGTCTCTTGAACTATTTGCCCCAGCTGGCTTGGAACTGTGATCCTCCTGATCTCTGCATCATGAATAGCTAGGATTATAGGCGTGAGCCACTGGCACCTGGACACAAAGCATTTAATGAGGGAAAAGCATTCTGTACATATAGAGGTGAGGGAAATTATCATGTAGATTAAACATGGACTAGAGAATTCAGTTTTTCTCCCTGTAATCTTTTAGTCTAGAGGCTATGGAAAAGGAGAACATTTTTTTTTTCCCTTTTTCCCTACCTTTATTGCTTATTTACTGTATTTTCACTGGCATTTGCTAGGCTCCGCTCTTACCTCTTGAGCCACTCTGCTAGCCCTAGTTTTTTATCCCTTAAATGCTAGTTTAAAAGCTTACTAGCAAGCTGAACATGGTAGCATGAATCTACAATCCTAGCTACTCAGCAGGCTGAGGTAACAGGATCATTTGAGTCCAGAGACCAGCCTGGGCAAAATAGTGGCACCCCATCTCAACAAAATAAAACAAAAAAAGCCTAGCTGGGTATGTTGGTATAATGGCAGCACTCAGGAGACTGAGGCAGGAGGAGTAAGAATTCAAGACCAGCTTGTTTACATTTTTTTTTCTAAAAAATAATCTTAAAAAAAGAAGAAGCCTAATAGCAAAGTTATTTGCTATTAGTTATTTATTTAGTTATTATTTATTTATTGTGGTGGTACAGGGGTTTGAACTCAGGGCCTTGAGTAAGTGCTCTACCACTTGCATCATGTTCCTAGCCCTTTCTGCCTTTAGTTCATTTTTTAGGTAGGGTAACACTTTTGCCTGGGGCCAGCCTCAGACTACAATCATCCCATCTCTGTATCGTTGGGATTATAGCCATATGCCACTACACCCAGCTTTTTTGAACTACAGTCTCACTAACTTTTTTTCTTGGATTGGCCTCCCACATAGCTGAGATTTTAGGTATATGCCACCATGCCTTGCCCAGCAAAGAGGATTTTGAAAAATGTTAATCTTTCATCTGCAGATCTTAATTCACTTTTAGAATTAGATTATTTATAGAACTTGTTACGCTCTTAAAGAGAATTTTTAATTTATAGAATAAGACTTTCAAAATTATATATGAATTCTAAGTTCCTATTTTATTTTTAACTGTTAATATAAAAACAAAATTTGTACATATTAATAGGATGCCATGTAGTGTTCAATACATGTAAACCTTATGCATGTTTAAACCAGGTTAAACATAATTACCTCTTCAGACATTTGTCATTTCTTACTTTTCCTTTTCCTTTTTTTTTCTTTTGGTGGTACTGGGATTTGAACGCATGGCCTCATGCTTGCTAGGCAGAGCAGGCAGGCACTCTATCACTTGAGCCACTCCTCCAGCCCTTGCCATTTCTTTATGGTGAAAACATTCAATATGTTTCTAGTTTTTTAAATAAACAGTACATCATTGTTGTCTACACTCACTATATTGTGCAGCAGTACACCAGAACTTCTCACTCCCATCTAACTACCAAACTCAGGTTTTTTTTTTTTTGGCAGCACTGGGTATTTGAATTCTGGGCCTTACACTTGCTAGGCAGGCACTCTACCACTTGAGCCACTCCTCCAGCCCCCAAATTCAGATTTTTAAATCACATTTTTGGCAATAGTGTGCATTTGGGTTTATAAGTTCTCTTACTTAATGTTCAAAAGGGCAAGATGTACTAAAAAGTAAATTTTAAAATACTATTTTTCTAGTCCTTTAATTCATTTTTAACTCTTCTCCATGATTCAACTTTTTCTCTAGGCCTCTAAAATATTTCTAAGATTTATGTACTTACTGTCCCAAAAGAACCTAAACACATTACTTCAGCCTAGCTTACTGTCTTTCATCCGGAAAACTGATAGATACTTCCTGGTCACTCTTAACATTTAAATTCAGAATTTCCTCTACCTAGTAAACCTGGTAACTAAGTTGTTACTTAATTCCCTTGCTCCCTTGTAATATGCTTGTTTATATGCCTGCTTTTTCTTGCAAGTTTCCTAGCTTTAAAAGTAAACATTAGTTCTTCTCCATCTCAGAGTGTCTTCTTGCCTCTCCCATGCTAAACGCTCCTCCTTACTGTGAGTGTTCTAGATATACTTTCCATGTGAAACCATCTTGTAGCTCAACTTGCTTTATTATTTATTATACAGTGAACACTTGAGATATGCTTACTGATTAACAAATATTTTTGTGAAATGAAACTTATATACTAAGTAAGATGATTATACTTGTGTAGTATTATTTCCTGTGTGGCTTAAATACATATTTTCAAGGGATATTTATGGTCTGACAGTGAATCTAAGAATAAGGCACCTAGTGACCCAATAGCTAAGTCTTTTTCTCATGCTCTGTGATAAAAAATGATGGTATAATTTTAGTTGTTTTAAAAGGAAAATCAGCAGAGTCAGATGATACAGCCAGTTGAAATTAGGGCAGAAAATAATATGTCCAGGAGCTGAGAAGGAGATTATTTCCATTTACCCTCTGGAAAGTTTCATCCTGACTGCAGTTGTGGCCAGTTGAACCTGATTTATCCAGCGTTAACTACATTATCTAAATTGAATTCTCACTTAGTAGATCAGTACTTAATGACATTTATTTAAGGGTCATATATTTAATTCTCCTTTTTTTCAGATTATGAACTATTATGGAAAAGGAAAAGTGAGAATTACGTTAGTAACAAAGAATGATCCATATAAACCTCATCCACATGATTTAGTTGGAAAAGACTGCAGAGATGGCTACTATGAAGCAGAATTTGGACAAGAACGTAGGCCTTTGTTGTAAGTACAAAGTCATAGACAGCTTCAAAAATAAGATAAGCATATAATACTGTTTCTTATCCACGACCTCTGTTACTTTTTAGCATTCTACTTACTATAGTGTACTTTTAAATTTTCTTACCATTTGCATTAGGACTACCCTTTCATTTTCATTAGTAGACACAGTACATGATGTTTAGCAGAAATACTTTATTATTACAGAAAGTAAAAATAAACATTTTATTCTGTAATTTCCTTTCTCAGTTTGAATAATCCATGAAAGAAATTTTTACTTTATCTTTTCATTTATAGTTAACTTAAAAATGGCTAGGTGCAAGAAAATCAGCTAGAGAAATGTAGAATTTACTTAGAAGGGAATAGCTACATGTTAACCTACAATGAAAGTTCTAAGATTAAAAATATTATGTCACTCTTCATGTTGATGAGGCTACCAGAAAATGAGCCTATTTATCATGATAGTGAAAATATAAATTAATAAAATCTTTCTGACAAGACGTGTACCCCTACATAGCAAAAGCCTGAAAACTATGAATGAGTCTTGAGCCAGTGATTTCACTTCTAGGAATCTATCCTCAAAAAATAATTAAGCATGTTCAGACATTGAGCTATAATGCTGCTATTCAGTGCAGCTTTATTTTAATGGCAAAAAAAGTAATAAACAAAGAAGACTAATTAAACAAACTGGTACATCCAAACAGTGTACTCCTTTTTTCTTTTCTTTTTTTTTTTTTAACTGGGTTTGCCCTTGCTAGGCAGGCATTCTGCTGTTTGAGCCACACCTCCAGCTCTAATGTACTCCTATATAACCATAAAAAGAACATTGCAAATATACCTATTGGTATGTAAAGGTATACGTAACATGCTATTTTGTGAATAGCATGTTTTTGTGAATATCTTTGTTTTTCAAATAAACATGTGTTAGTAAATATATTAAGGTATTTATTGTAGTTGTCTTTGGGTAGGTAGGATCATGTGGTTTTATGTTTTTCTTTTATATATTTTTTTAAATAACATGTATTTCTCTTGGGGGAGAAATGAAACTAATGAGAACAGAAAAATGGTTTTAGTTTCCTTATATAAGTAATAACCATTTAACACTTTGAGCTGGTTATGGTGGTGTTCACCTGTAATCCTAGCTACTTGGGAGGTAAAGATCAGGAGGATGGCAGTTAGAAGCTAGCCTGAGCAAAAAAAACTAGTGAGACCCCCGTCCCCCCATCCTAATCAACAAGTTGAGTATAGTAGTGGGAGACCTAGATAGGAAGATTACTGTCTGAGACCAGCCCCAGGCCAAAACATAAGACCCTATCCAATAAACTGATCCAGATTGATCAATGTAAGTCTCTTCAGATTGTCTCCTGTGTCCTTTTGATATGTTCTCATCTTTCTTGAAATACTTCTTTACTTTCTAAACAACAGTATGTTCAAAAATTGTGTTTTTCTTCTCCAGCCCTAAGTTCTCAATTTTTTCCAAGGATTCCTGATTTTTTTCAGTGGGGAATGATATTTAGTCTGATTGCTTTCTCAATATTCTCAAAAGCACCTCAAATAGGACCTATCCAAAACTATAATCTTACCGTGATCGTACTCTTTCACTTCAAAATTGGTCTTCTAAGGTGACTTGTCATAGAAGATGATAAAAAAAAAGTCCCAAACATAGATGTCATCTCTGGCACCTCTCATACAGGCGTGAATCCATTAACCTCTTAAATAGCTCTATCTATGTCACCACCACACTACATCTGTAGTCGGAATTTAAGCTGCTTGAATAGTCTCCTGCCTCTTAGTCTTGCATCAACTCTCTTGGCACCTCTTTCCCCTCAGTCTTCACGTTAGCCAGAGTGACCTTTTAAAATACAAATCAAATCATTACCTCCATCCTTGAAACATTTTAATGGTTTTATGTGTCTATTGGAATTAGAACAGCTTTCCTCTCACCATCTCCAAGGTCTACAGGGCTCCCTGTATTTCTAGTCTCCTGTTGTGCTGTGCTTCCTCTGATCAATACACCCCAATCACAAAAGCCATCCTTTAGTTTCCTCTGTAGTGCTCTTGTGTAGGAGCCTTTGCATGATCTGTTCCTTTTGCCTTCAGATATCTTCCTCTCCTCCTCCTCTGGTTGTTCTGTTCATATTAAGCACCATTTCCTACAGGAAGCCTGTTCATCTGCCCTGAATTGATCAACTCTCTCCCATCATAGGCTCCCATAAATGATGTGCATCTTCTTCATAAAACTTGCCATGATTTCAGTTTAGCATTTTTTATGTGTGATTATTTAATAGCTGTCTGATTCACCAAACTAGAGCTAGCTAGACTTTTTCTGTAAAAGGCAGGTAGTATTTTAGGCTTTGCAGGCCTTATGGTCTCTGTTCCATGTACTTAACCCTGTTTTGGCATGAAAGCAGCCACAAGTGATACGTAAATGAATGAGCATGGCATGATCCAATATAAACATAATTTATAAAAACAGACAGTGTGCTGGGTTTGTCCCATGGATTATAGTTTATCAATCCCTGTACCAGATTGTAAATTTCGTGAAGAGAGGGATTATATATACCCATTCTTTTACAGAGATTTTGTTGTTTGTTTGTTTTTGTTCTTGATGCTGGGATTGAACCCAAGGCCTTGTGAACAGCAGGCAAGAGTTCTGTCACCAAGCCAAACCCCCAAGCCCTCAAAATTTCAAAAATTCCCATTAATTTTAATATTCTGTGACTAGTCTGTGAGTAGCCAAACGTGATTATTCAAATGAAACAAAACCAAGTACTGTAGAAGTATGTTAGATTAATTTCTTTTTTCTTTTTTTGGTGGTACGGAGGTTTGAACTCAGGGCCTCATGCTTTGTAGGTAGGCATTCTACCACTTGAGTCACTCCACCAGCCCTGTATAAATATGTTAGGATGAAGATATCTAAGCTAAAAGAGGACCCAAATCAAGAATCTTTCAAGGAAGTGAAATACTTTTGAGGAAGAGGATTGTAGTTGCAAGGTTTCAAGAGTTAAGAATTTATGACTTATTTTTTGGTTGTTGAAGTAGAGGAAGGAAATGTCAATACTTCAGGTGTTAACACAGTCACAAGTGTGGTGAATGTACAGAGCACAAACACAAGGCAGCATGAGCATGGAGTGAGGCGCACAAGGTAGCCTCTAGCTATAACTGCCATGTGAAGTTTGAACAAATAGTAATGTTATTATAATTGAGTTTTGCTTCCTTATTCACACCCACCCAACTTTAATGACATCATGGTTTTTCCATGTGGGAACAAATATGACTGGGTGGTGGTGGGGGAGTTCCCTTCGCCATCCTCTGAACTACACATATGCAAATTAGTAATATTTGTAGCTATTGAGAAATTTTCCATAAATGACATTTTGAAACTTTTGTTAAATATTGTTATATTAAACCTCTTTCTAATAAAAACATTTTAATACTTATGGTAACTTTGTATAATATAGCCTAAAACAGATTCTACTTCAACTAACTGTGAAGTCAAAGCTCAAAAACCAAATCTCTGGGGAGTTGGCAGGCAGCACAAATGAGTGGACTGGATCAGGTGTAGGAGGACTAGCAGGTACTAGCAAACTAGAGTTGTGAGCAAATGGGGCCACAGGAGCTCAGCTCCAACCAGTTGTTTCTGTGCCCAGTTGGTGTTGCCAAAATGTCCTGAAGAAGCTAAAAATCAGATGTAATCATATATAATTGTTTGATTTTTAAATTTTAGTAACTTACACAGATTTTTTTTAAATATAGGCAACACGACTGCAGTCTCAGCAAAACATACCTGTGGACTTCAGGCTATGGACATCTTTTTACACCTTTTGCTTTATATGATCAAATACAGATTTTACTGATATGATCATGAGTTCGTGGGAGGTGAATTTTTGCTTTTTGGTGTTGTTTTGCTATTAATCTCTGTCTACTTTTATGTTTGACATGGGCATATCAGTAAGATGTAAAAGTACAGCATGTAAAAATGATACAGTATTATATATCCTATTTTTCTTTTAACAGTTCTCTCATAAATATAACCCTCTTTTTTTTGGCAGTACTGGAGTTTGAACTCAGAGCATTGCACTTACAAAACAGGAGCTTTACCATTTCAGCCACACCCCCAGCCACTTTTTTACTACATATATCTTTACCTTTGCAGTTAGAAATACAGTTCATGCTCTAATCACTCCATTAGACAGCATGATGACTTCTCAGTGTTGGATATGTGCTTGATTTTTGTACCGTTCCTTTTGTTTAACTATAATTCAATTTTGAAAGTTTCGGCTTTTTTTCTAGTTTTCAAAATTTGGGTATTCGATGTGTAAAGAAAAAAGAAGTAAAAGAAGCTATTATTTCAAGAATAAGTGCAGGAATCAATCCTTTCAATGGTATGTTTGATATTATATCTATTATTCAGATACTGATTTACTGTGTGATTTCTATTTATATCTTAAATTTATATTTTAAAAATAATTTTAAGTTTTGTGTTCACTTTTCTACTTGTTGACATATACCTGTGTCTGAGGAATAAAGTACATTTAAAAACTTTCACTATTGTTGAAAAAGAAAAATCTTATGCAGATAAAGACTTTCTGGTATCAATGAAGAATGTTATTGTTTTCTATAAGAATGTTCTGATTTTCTCTACGTGTGCCTTTTCTTATGCCACTCTTCCCATAGACGATGTACACTCCCCTTTCTGAGTGTTGAGTAGGCACTGTGATTAGTAGGTATTGGAGTGCATTTAATTCAAGAGTATATTTGATAGCAAAACTTAATCATAAATATGTAAGAAAACATACAAAAATAGTAGAAGCCATACAAAATATTTTCACAATATATTTGTGTATATGGCTAAATATTTAAACTTCTCAGTGGATTTTACTGGGAATAACATTTATTAAGTATTTATTTTTGTGGGACTATCTGGGTGTGCCCCCAGTACATTTTGATACTCTGTTTTTTGAATAGATAAATGACTACTGAGCTAGATGCTGGCATCCTATTACAGGAGTCTTTATTTTGAAGTCTTCTGTAGCTACTTAAACAAGCATACCAACCTAGGTGTGGTGGGGCACCACCTGTATTCTAAGCCATTGGAGAGGCTAAGTCCAGAGGATCATGAGTTCAAGGCCAGCTGGGGAAATACAGCAAGACCTCCTCTCAGAGAAACAAATACATAACAGTAGGCATGTCATTTGAATGACTTTAAAATTTACAAAGAATAGATTTCTTTGTCATATTTAAGACATTCTTATATTATTGGTTTGAGATTTTCCTGGCTGTATAAAAATAATTTAAGGGTTATGATGATATTTTAAGAACTATGTTCTCATATAGGTACTGTTTTTATGAACCATAAAATGTGTATCTCTTTTCTCTAGGTCTTTATTTTTCATGCTATTTAGTGTAAAGCTCAAAGCAAAAGTCCCTTTCTTCACCTTCAGTCTTACTTTCCAGAGAGACCACTATTATATTTGATGTGTGTTTTTCTAGAATTTCCTTTATATATATATGGTTATATACAGACATATTTTTATGTAAAGGTAATTATGCTATGCTTCCTATTCTACTGCTTCATTTTTTTTCTACTCAGAATTAATCTTAAATATCTTTCTATGTTTACAAATCTATTTTATTTTTTAACAGATTATTCTCTTATTTGGGCAGACTGCAATTTATTTAATAATTTTAATAAACATTTAGGTTGTTTTCATTTAATTTAAAAAGCTCCATTGAATATACTCTTTGAACTCTTATGTGATTATTTCCTTAAGGTAGATTTTCAGAAATGGAAAATTCTGAGTCAAGAGTGTGCTCACTTAAAGCTTTGATCCATTATCAAATTAAAAGGCTAGGCTTTTAAAGAGGGCATCCAAGTCTAGATGCAGTATAAAATAAGGAGATTATAAATAATTGCTATTACTTAATAAGCACTCATTAAAACAACACACACTCTCTCCCCCCCCTTCTCTACCTTCCTTCCTTTTATCTATTTTGGTAATCCAAAACCAGGGATAATATTAATAATGAACATTCAGGGTTGGGTACACTGGTTCATACCTATAATCCCAGCTGCTGGGGAGGTAGAAATTGGGAGGACCTCTGTTCAAGGATAGCTGGGGCAAAAAGTTAGCAAGACCTCATATCAACAAAAAATCTGGGCATGGTGGTATATGTCTGTAATTTCAGCTACTTGGAGGTATAGGTAGGAGGCTCACAGTCTAAGGCCGGCCCTCTGCAAAAATGCAAGACTCCTGAAAAATAACTAAAGTAAAAAGGACTCAGGATGTGAGTCAAGTGGTAGAGTGCCTGCCTAGCAAGTGTGAGGCACTGAGTTCAAACCACAGTACTACAGTAATACTAGTACTACTAATGATAATAATAATAATAAAAACATTCATATAGCATTTAAAATAACCCCTGGTAGATGGTAAGTATTTTACATATTTTACTTCACTTTAATCCTAGTAACAACCTATGTTGTAGGTACTATTTGTATCTCCATTTTATAAGTAAGAAAATGAAGACATAGGAAAGTTCAATAATTTGCCCAATATCATACAGCTGGTGAGTGGTGGTGGCAGTATTTGAATACAGGTAACCTGGCACCCCGGTTCATGGTCTTAACACCTCTACTACACTGCCTAGAAGAATGTAGATTTGGGGAAGGAACAGTCCCACTGTTGATCCCTCATAGTATTTATATGTTCTGTTTTGCTTAGATAGGTTTTTGTTTGTTGGTTTGGTTTGGTTTCATTTTTGTGGGATCCATCCCAGGGTCCTGTGCATGCTAGGCAAGGCTAGGCTTTACCACCAAGCTACATCCCTAACTAGTTGTTTTAACATCCATTCTTTCCCTTTTTCTACCCTCCTAGTTTAGGAACTCATCTCAAATTTTTGAGTTGTAATAGTTTTTCCCCATTAGAATATTCTTTAGTAAGATATGGTGATCAAAAACTTGCAATGGCTTTATTTAGTTTAAAAACTAAATGATCTTCACATTCAAAGTCATCACATTTAGCTCTTAAGATCTTTCCTATCTTCCACTGCTCCTTTTCACGAACCTTTAACTGTTTCAGAAAGACTTTTGTTCACTTACTCTGACCATCTCAGTCCAGTTCTCTCCAATCTCTTCACTGACATTGTAGAAATACAAGCTTATATCATTTAAAACCTAGACCATTGTTGGTAGCCTTTAAACTTGTGTTCCTGCTTTATCTTTGATTTCTTCCAAGCATACAAAAAAATCCTCCTAACCAATATGATCATTGCAGAATTCTGCTTATCCTTCATTGGCTCCAAATCAACTTCAGCCATGGTTTTCAGTTTGAATGCTTAAAATGCAGATTCCAGGTTTGGTGTGGGGACTAGGAATCTGCACCTTAAAACACATTTAACTTCCTTCACTATGACCCACAGTAAGAAATAGATTTTATTTTTGTAGTCAGTACATACACGGGTGCACACACTTACCACACTCACTATGCCATTAATACCCTTACTATATGCATTATACTTTCCACTTTGTTCTGTTCCCTTCCTCCCTCCTTTCCTTCCTTCCTTCCTTCAAATACTTATCTACCCCACTAAATTAATTTCATGACCAGACCTAAAGTACAATGTGAAAATCTCTGCCCCTAGATTATTCTGATACAGGTGAACCATGGACCATGTTTTGAGAAACTGAACTATGTGCTGAGTTCAGCTTCTCAAGCATAACATTCAAAGCCAAAGCCCTTTGTAATCTGATTCTTGTTTTCCATTCCAGCTTTTAACCTCTCCCTCAGCCTCCTGTCCTTCCTTCTGCTACCACTGATTGTATACATTCATGCTATTTTTGCCATAACTGTTTGCACTGTTAGTAGAGCTCTGCTCTTTCATGCCACTGGGCTTTTATGCATGCCTTCCCTTGCATGGAATGCCCTGGTTTGAATGGTGAATTCTCAAACCAGTATATTCTCCTTCACTAAGTCATGAGACTCGGGAGGATGGGGACTATCTTCTATGTGTCTCTACCAACTAACCTCCCTGTCTGGCACATGGTAGTGGCTTAATTAAAATTTGTTGAAAGAATAAATAATGAGTGAATAAGCATGCCTTTTTGTTATTTGTCTTCCAATAATATTCAAGTTTTTTTCCTTACCTGAAATGACCTGCTTTTCAGTTTCCTTCAGCCCGAGGTAACAGTCTCCTTATTATATCATTTGCTCAGCAGTTGATCCCAAAATCATTTTTGTAACATCAGATAAGTTTTTTTTCAGGAATTGACTTCTGAGATGAATTTCATGCTCATTTTATTATGAGATAATAAAGAACACCTAAATAAATGGACAGATAAATATTTTGTAGTAGTAATATGATAGAGATGCCATTTCCCCCAAATTGATATGCAGATTCCATGCAATTCCAAACAAAATGCCAGCAAGGTTTTTCATTAAACATGACTGGATAACCCTCACAGGCATAGGAAGATATTTTATAAAAGAGGAATAATGAGAAGAAACTGACTTTATTAGATACAAGTACTTTTTTAGGGCAGTAGTAATACAGATTGATTAATAGTGTAGAATTGAGAGCCCAAAAACAGACCTAAGAAAATATAAGGCTTTTTAGTATAGGGCAGAAGTAGCTAGATCAAGAGAAGATCAGAAAATGGATAAATAAGGACGAGAACATTATTGCTTAATTAAATTGGATTCCCTTCTGAAGATGAGTTAAAGATTTTAATGTAAATCAACACTAAAAGCTCTTACTATATTGCAAATATATTTTAGTCTTTGGGGTATAGAAAGACAAGACACAAAGTATTTTCTATAAAACAGTTTAGGACTGGAGGAATGGCTCAAGTGGTAGAGCAACTGCTTTACAAGTTTGAAGCCCTGAGTTCAAAACTCCAGTTCCACCAAAAACAAACAAACAAATGAAAAAACAGTTGATAAATTTGCTAATGTTCTTAATTCAGTTCATTTTTTTTTAATTCTGGAGGTTTTTCCACTTTTTTTAATATAATTTCAAGTTTCCTGCTAAACTCTCAATCTTAATTCCTTGAATATATTAAGAATAATTATTTTAAATCATTTGTGGTCTGTTTCTATTATCTTTTCTCTTTTAAAGATCATTTCGTTCCTCATAAGTTTAGCTATTTAAAGTAAGTATCAGTAATTGCATAGGAAAACTAGATTGTTTAGGCTTAGGATGATATTATCTCCCTACAGATTTTCTTCTGGAAGGTGGCTAAGTGCACTAGAAATCCCAGATCACCTAAAATCAGTGAATGGTTGAGGTTATTTGAAGCTGGGCTTTCATCCCTGTGAGATCTGGTATACTTCCAGTTCACCTTTGCTCCTAACATAGCTCTTCCAGATCCCAGATGCCACAAGCTATTGGGCAAGTCATCAAATCTCCTGGCTCTAAACTTCCCCTTTATTTTTTCTCCTATAGTTTATTTAGAGTTCATCTCTATTTATCTTCTTAGCCACCTCTTACAAAATTGACAAACTATATCTAGAAAAAAAGTGGCCTCTTATTCTGAACTTTGGGTTTCCTTCTCTTGTACCTCTTTTTCTTCTTTCTTTGCTTTTTTTTTTTTTTTTTTTCTGGTACTGGGGTTTGAACTCAGGGCCTTGTGCCATATCCCCATTCTTTTTTTGTGTTAGTTATTTTTTGAATAGGGTCTCATTTATGCCTAGTCTGATCTGGACTGTGATCCTCCTATTTACTCTTCCTATGTAGATGGGATAACAGGCATGTATCACTATGCCAAGCTTATTGGTTGAGATGAGATCTTAGAAACTTTTTACCCAGACTGGCCTTGAACTGCAATTCTCCCTATCGCAGTCTCTCAAGTAGCTGGTATTACAGGTGTGCCCATGTGCCCAGCTCTAATTTTCTTCCTTTCTCTTATCTTTCTTCACTGCTGGGGATTGGACCCAGGGCCTCCAGCATGCTAAACAGATACTCTACCACTGAGCTACATCCCCAACCCTCTCTTCCATATCTTGACCCCATGATTTTTCATGACTTTGTTAGCTCTGATGCTTTTAGAAGAATTTTGTTATGTGTTTTGACCAGCTTTTTACTTTCCACAATAGTTTGGTCCTGATTACATATGTTATTTGCCATTACTAAAAATAAAACCTCCTTTTGTTAACTTTTACTTTATAGTTTTCTTCAGCAACTTACATCTAAATGATTGTTCAACAGACTCTTTTTGGTGGTATTTTTTTTTTTCTGAACTCAGGGTCTGTTGCTTGCTGGGCAGGTGCTCTTATCACACAAGCCACATCCCTGACCCTCAGACCTTTCCTTAGTTGATTCTTTAGTCACTCATTAGTTGAGGCCATGTATATATGTAAATCACTGTTTCCTGTCTAGTGAAAATGCAAAGATGCATCAGACACCCATTCTGACTTCATGAAATTTTGTTATATAGGATAAATGATGATCATGTAAGATTAAAAAGAAAACAACTATGTGCGTAAAAGAGGTATAGGTCAAGGGCAGCACTGTTTAAGAGGGAGGTACTCCTTCCATTCCAGAAGATGCAGGTTTTAGCATCCTCACATTTTGACCTTTAGTTGTTAGTCTTTGTAGAAAAGAAGTTGTGAGCAGGGTCTTCAGCCTTGCCTTAAATCCTGAGTTGTATAAAAACAGGTATTACTCATGATTCCTGTCTGTCAATTGTTTTTTTAAACCATCTTATGCAGAGATGATTTTAATTCTGATGGAGTAATTACTATATTTCCACATTCAAAGCCAAATCCCATAAAAAGTGACCATTTAAGAAGTAGATAGAGGTTGGGTGCCAGAGGTTCACTCCTATAATCCTAGCTACTCAGGAGGCAGAGATCAGGAAGATCGAAGTTCAAAGCCAGCCCTGGGCAAATAGTTTGCAAGACCCTATCTCAAAAATACTCAACACAAAGCAGGGCTGGTGGAGTGGCTTATGGCAGTCAGAGTGACTGCTTAGCAAGCGTGAGGGCCTGAGTTCAAACACTAGTACTAGCAAAAAAAAAAAAAAAAAAGAGTAGGTAGAATACCTTCCCTTTGATGGAACCATTGTGCAACTAAGTGTTTTTATATTTTGGCTTATTAACCAGTTAATTTTTTAATGTACTATTTACAAATATTTTAAATAAACTTTTATTGAGATATAAAATGCACCTATATATATTCTCTCACGTAACATCAAGACAAAGAAACATTTCCATCACCCACGAGTTTCGTTGGTCCCTTTTTCAGTCAGTTCCCTCCCTGTCCTCTGCTGTAATCAGCCACTAGTCTGCTTTCTGTCACCATAAATCAATCTTCATATAATCTGCATTCTTATCTAGTTCCTTCTGGTTAGTATAATGTTTTTGAACTACATCCATGTTGGGATATATCTATATTTTGGCCAGGTATTATTTTATTGTATGACTATACAACAGTTTGTTTATCTATTCACATAAGTTTGTTTTTAAATTGTCAGGTATACTTAGGTACTAATTTTGTTTGTTTGTATATCAGTTACTCATCTTTAAAACTGGAAGTTACTGAAATCTTGAACTCTTAAGTTTATAATGCTATAAAACTTGATTTTGAAGAGATAGACCTCTTACTGCCTCCATAATGGTACAGTAGTGTATGCTGCTATGATACAAGTGTTGGCATCTGAACATTTTGGCCTTTTAGTTGCATGAATGTGTTCTTACAGACTCTTATCAAATGTTAGGCTTACAAAGGCTGATACTGGGATAAATTGAAATGTAGTAGTTCCTGAGGCTGTGTGAATATTATTAAATAAGAACAGTATAAAATACATTGTTCTTTTTATTAGTTATTGCCTGTAAGACTTTGGGACTTGGTTGTTTTTTAAATTTAAAATTTTTATTATTTTACAAAATAAAAATTTCATGCTTTTTAAAAAATGACTTATTAACTGATTTATTGCTGAAGTGTGTATAGTTTTTGAATTTTTAAACAATTTTATTAATTTACTGTTCTTACATCATACAATTCAATGATTTTTAACACCATTTTAGAACATATTCACAGCCTCAAAAAGAAACCCCATACTCTCTTGCCATCACTCCCTTCAGTCCCCATACCCCAAGGTGGTAGTCATGAATCCACCTTATTCTTTGAAAAAAATAGTAATATTTTGTTTTGGGACTGGGTTTCTTTTCAACATAAATATAACAAAACTGTCCTAATGCTGATTGATGATTTTTATATTTTTTCAGAATTACAAATTTTTCTTGCTACAAGGTTGGGGTTGTTCAGTTTTTGTTTTTTGTTTTGGGTAGCACTAGGGCTTAAACTCAGGCCCTTGAACTTGTGAGGCAGGTATAGGGTTTGTTTCTTTAAAAGCAAACTTAATTTACACATAAAATTTCTTATGAGGATTGGTAATGTTGGCAATGCCAGCTGCTCAGCAGTCAGAGACAAGAGGATCTTGGTTCAAGGCCAGCCCAGACAAAGTTAGCATGAGACCCTATCTCAAAAACAAACTGAAAGCAAAAGGACTGGGAGTGTGGCTCAAGTGGTAGAGCACTTGCCTAGCAAGTGAGTTTAATACCCAGCATTGAAAAGAAAAAAAAAAAAAAAACAAACATCATTTGGTTATCGTCTTGGAATTTCATCCCAAAAATGTTGATCTGAATTTTAGTATATTCCTGTGTATATCATAAGAAAAAATTTTTAATGGAGTTTAATTTTTAAAGGTGTAGGCTCTGGATTTGAATTCAAATTCCCACTTTTCTTCTAGCTGTGAAATTTCATCTCTTTAAAATCAGTTCTTTAGCTGTAAAAATGGGGATAATAGTAATTCTTGCAAGATTTAGAAGATAATTTACAGACTGGAAAAATACATACTTGTTGAATGTATGCCTATTCTCTAATGTGTACAACTTTCATCCATGTTTTAAAAATTGTTTTGTTATTATCATTTGGCCCACTGTTATTATACTAGCACTAGGTAGGTGGAGGTGGGAAAATCACAAATTTGAAGCCAGCTTGGGTTATATAGCAAATCCCAGATTACTGGCATAGTTACTTTCTGAACATTGCTATAATTAATCAAATACTGGCAGATAGTGACTATTTGATAATAACAAAAGGCATTCTTGAGATCATGGGTGGGGAGCAAATCTAGCAGGATTTTAGTTCTTTGTAACTATTGTGCATTCTAAAAAGTCAATGTACTATTCAGTCCCTGAACAACAGCTGCTTGACATTGAAGACTGTGACCTAAATGTGGTGAGACTATGTTTTCAAGTTTTCCTCCCCGATGAACATGGTAATTTGACAACAACTCTTCCTCCTGTTGTCTCTAACCCAATTTATGACAACCGTAAGTACTTTATTTTCTTATATTTGTAGTCTTAGTTTTTTTTTTAACAGTTTAATTTTTAAAGTATTTTGATAATTAGAAAAATAATATGTTGGCATTGGGTAGGTGGAGGCTGGAGAATCACAAATTTGAAGCCCTTAACTTCAAAAAAAAAAAAAGAAGAAGAAAAAAAAGAATGAGAGAATGTTTATTATAGGAAAAATTCAAACAGTGAAGAAATGTATACATCAAAGAGAATAAATCTCATGTAATCTCTTTTTGTAAAGATAATCACTGTCCTCAGGGGCATAGTTTACCAGTTTCTTCTTATAAATGCATACATCATCATCTTTATCATCACCATCATTTACACAGTGTGGCAACCTTTTGAAAAATCACTAATTGTTTTCAAAGCTTACTTTTTTCTCTTAGCAATATATCTTAAATTTCTTTTCCTTTCAGTCACCTTATGTTTTCTTTTTGTAGCAATGCTGGTGAACCAGCCCAGGGCTTTGCACATGCTAGGCAAGCTCTTCATCACTGAGCTACACCCCAAGTCCCACATTATCTTTTCAATCGCTGTTTATTTCATTATATGGTTATATTCTGATTTTTAAAAAGCTCTATTTTTAAAACAGAACATTTCATGTGTTCTCATTTTTTTTCCTTTTTGCCCTTAACAAATTGTACTGTAATGCCTATCCTTGTATGAGCTTATCTTGTGCAAATATTCCTCTGGCATAAATTTCCAGAAATAGAAATGCTGATAGATGCTACATCAAAAGATACAGAAATTTGTTTGAAAAGATCATGAAACTACCCTTCAAAAATTGTGTGTGTGTATACATACATATATATGTTAACCAGTGATGAATGACTATAGCTGTTTTGCATGTAGAAGGATAGTTGGTTGGAGGACTATAAAGGTAGATCAGAGTATCTTCTTCATAAATGCCTTGAATGCCTGGGAGGACATTCATATTGGGTAATCATATTGGGTAGGTACAAGGAAACAGGAAAAATTACATTGCAAAAAAAAAAAAATGCCCTAGAGACATGGTCAATGACATAAAAAGATTAGGGCTGAAAGTACAGCTCAAGTGGTAGAGCACTAGTCCCCTGTAATCAGTCCCCAGTGCTGTGAAACAACAAACAAAACAAAAAATCAGATTAATCTGATGACAGTATGTCTGATGAATTAGAAGAATCAGAATTCAGAAGCAGGGAAATTTATTCAGAAAAAATATCAGTCTTAAGACTCTAAACCAGGTTAAGTAAAGAAGTTAGAAAAGAAAGAGATAGGTATGGATGATTAAAGTATTTAGTGTCCTTTATCTGTACAATGAAACTCTTATCTAGTCTGTAAATGATTTTCCTCAAATTCTGACCCTTACAGTGGGATAAAATGTTTTTACTAAAGTAGCAATCCATTTTAAAAAAATCTTTTGTATTTAGGTGCCCCAAATACTGCAGAATTAAGGATTTGTCGTGTAAACAAGAACTGTGGAAGTGTCAGGGGAGGAGATGAAATATTTCTACTCTGTGACAAAGTTCAGAAAGGTATTTATTCATTTTGATTTGTTGAATTAAGAATATATTTTAGATTGATAGATGGATTTTACCTTGTTTTCCCATTGTTACTGTTTCTTTGACTTACTAGATGATATAGAAGTTCGTTTTGTGTTGAATGATTGGGAAGCAAAAGGTATCTTTTCACAAGCTGATGTACACCGTCAAGTAGCCATTGTTTTCAAGACTCCTCCATATTGCAAAGCTATATCAGAGCCAGTAACTGTAAAAATGCAGCTGCGGAGACCTTCTGACCAGGAAGTTAGTGAATCTATGGATTTTAGATATCTGCCAGATGAAAAAGGTATAACACTTTGGGAGTAATGATTTATACATTCCTTAAAGTTGGTCCTGCTAGTAACGTTGTAATGCATTTGAGTATAGTTATGCATTTTCATAACTCATATTTTATTCCTGGAAGTTTTCAGGATTTTTTCCCTTTATGCTTTTTGTTTTTCTTTCTTAGGAAGGTTTGATTAATCTGTAATTTCAGAATTTCTATAGTGTTTATCAAAATGTCTGTTTTCTTTTGTAGTGTCTGATTTTGTCCTTACTGTGTCCTTTTTATAGATGGAAAACTTCCCACTCAGTGAGTGGTTCATATGTTGGTCTTTATCTTATCAGACATTATTTCATTAATTGATGTTGACTTATAGGTGTTTTAAGAAAATAAGTTTAAATATTTTTAACATTTTTTTAAAAATTAGGGCTCGCTGTGTATCCCAGACTAGCCTTGAACTCATGATCCTCCTGCTTCAGCCTCCCGAATACTGGGATTGCAGGCATTCACTACCACACCTGACTCTTAAATAATTTTTTATTCAGAGAAAGATATCCTTACAACTGATCTGAGATATTCTACAATAATGTGCTTATTAAGTTCATAATACATACATTTATTTAAAGCATTTTCTAAATACAAATAAAGTCCCTGTTTATTATTGGAATGGAAGCATAATCCCATTATGATTCATTTATTTGCTTTCCTGGTTTCTTTTTAAATCAGATGCTTATGGCAATAAATCAAAGAAGCAAAAAACAACTCTACTTTTCCAGAAACTGTGGCAGGATTGTGGTAAGAATATTTTGGATTGATTCACATTTAAATAGATTTTGTTTTATTTTTCTTTATTTAGTTTTTCAAAATTGGTAATTATTTTTCAGATTACATTAATAATGAAAAAAATTTATTATAACAGCTAATTTTCCTGAGAGACCAAGACCTGGTCCCCTAGGTTCAATTGGAGAAGGAAGATTCATCAAAAAAGGTATTTTATTCTTTTCTCCTCTGTAGAGTACTCCTTGTGATCATATAGACTGGTACTTTACACAATACATTGGAATTCCATTTCTAGAAATAAATAACTGCTTCTTTAATATTTTCCTCTCTTACCAATTTTTTCATTCTTTCAATATTGAGTAAATTGAACTTGGCCTCTGAAATTATGTTGGAAACTAATTGTATTTTGAGAATTTATTGTTCAAGAAATTACATTTTAAGGGCTGGGGGCATGGCTCAAGTGGTAGAGCACAAATTTAGGGCCCCGAATTCAATCTGTGAGTGCCACCCTTCCCCCCACCGCAAAAAAAAGAAAAAATTGCACTTTGTTTATACAAAATAAGTTTATACAGTGGTAATTTTATTCTCAGTATATCATGGAAGAAATGGTTTAGATCCGGCTAGTCATCTGTTATTATTTTATTAATAAAGTTTTACTTGAACACACCCATGCCCATTCGATTACACAGTTTCTAGCTGCCTGTCAGGCAAGTGCTGTGCCACTGAGCTACACTACAGACCTAACTGCTTTTTTTTTTCAGTATAGCAACAGGGTTAAATAATACCAACTTAGGCTAAATACTGAGCCCCACAAATTCCAAAATACTATCTGGCCTTTTATAGAAAAATACTTGTTGACCCCTGGATTAGATAATGCAACCAAGGGTTATATAGAAGTCATTTTTTTCCCTTCCTCTTCTATCCTTAAATTATCACTTTTTCCTGGTTTAGTATATACAGTATTTGTACATACGTAAATAAATATGGATTTTTTTTTTCTGACTGGGAATTTTGTAGCATCTTAGTCGTATCTTAAAAGTTGTATACATTTTTCAATCCTCCCTAATGAATGTTTTCTCCATCTCTCCATTTTCTCCTGAAAATGAAGACTGTAAGATGATGTTGGCTATTTGATTCCTATTAATTAAAATTCTATATTTATCTTTCATTTTTTAAAAAATACATGATAGGCCCTTAAGCTAGATTTTCATATTTAACTTTAGAGAAATTACATATGCCAAAGTAATGTATGAAAGTCATTTTACATGTTATGTATAAAACTTACACAACAATCACAGAATTCAGTTTTGGGCTTGTAATAATTTTAGTGCTTTTTAAAATTTTTTACTTGAAATGTTACATTGGTTCCTTTAATTTTTCATTGTTAGTATGTCCTTACAATTTTAATTTAGAAATAATGCTTGATATAATTTTGTTCATTTTAACATTTTTATGATACATTTTCCTCCCACAGAATCAAACTTGTTTTCTCAGTGTGCAGTTTTGCCAGAAATGCCCAGGATTTCAGAACCCTACTATTCTCCATCTGTGTCCATCTCAAGTGGCTTGCCCCATCACAATCCAGCCATTCCCTCAGTGGTACCTCATCAGTCTTCTTCAAGCTGGTCACCAATGGCTCACCCCACCTCACACTCAGTGAATACAAATCCACTGAATAATTTTTCAGCAGGGACACTTTCCACTAATTCACAAAGTATTCCATCATTCTTGGAAATGCCCAGTGTGAGTGACTTAAATGCTTCTAATGCTTGCATTTATAATAATACCGATGACATAGGCAGAATGGAAACATCATCCATGTCATCAGCGGACTTATATGGTATTTCTGACACCAACATGCTGTCTAATTGCTCTGTGAATATGATGACAACCAGCAGTGATAGCATGGGAGAGACCGATAACACAAGACTTGTGAGCATGAATCTTGAAAATCCCTCATGTAATTCAGTCTTAGATCCAAGAGACTTGAGACCACTCCATCAAATGTCTTCTTCCAGTATGTCAGCAAGCACCAGTTCCAGTACTGCTGTTTTTGTTTCACAATCAGATGCATTTGAGCGATCTGACTTCAGTTGTACAGATAACAGCCTGATAAATGAACCAGGACCATCAAATGATCCTAATCCAAGCAGTCATAATTTTATTCAAAGTAGTCAGTATGCAAGTATTGGCTCTATGCAAAGTGAGCAATTGAGTGACTCCTTTGCATATGATTTTTTTTAAGTATAACTTGCAGAATTTTAATACTTTTAAATGTTCACAATCATTTTGATATTACCTATGCAGCATTTTGTAGTTTTATTTTTTGGGGGTGTAGGGGTGGAATTGTGGTTTGAACTCAGACTTCATGCTTGCAAAGTGGGCACTCTACCCTATGCAGCATTTTGTATTTGCCTAATCAAGAAAAATTGCTAAAGCAAAACTGGCTGGGAGTTTGGTGGTAGAGCACCTGCCTTGTGAGCTTGAAGTCCTGGGTTCAAGCCTCAGTACCACCAAAACAAACAAACAAAACCAAAAAAGCCAACCAGAAATAGAAACGTAAGAAGGCTTTACTGTTTCTTCTTTTGAAAGCTCTGACCTGATAACTATGTGTGGTGTGAATTCTGCCTTCAGAGCTCTACCACGGTTTCCTAGGACAGACTCTGAGGAGAATGTTAAAGCTAGGCTCTGTTTTGCTACTTGGTTTTTTATATTTCTTTTATAATATATTAATGTATTCTTAAATGAATTAATTGATATTTGCTTTCAAGCAAATTTAAAGTAAAACCTATAATGGCTATGCCATTGGAAAAATTAATTCCTTATTTCTGAGGCCCATAGGCCAATGTAACCCCTAAGGGGTTTTCTGAGGCCTACTGGTGTTTCTTACATTTATATGTAAATTAATACTTCTTTAAAATGTTGAGTTGGGCTGAAGGCAGTTGAAGTGAGCTTTCAAGGTATGGGAGGTTTTCTACATTTTATACTATTTAAACTGATATCTTTAAAGTTGCTTATTATTTTAGCTTTATATACCCATATTTGCAACAGGAATACATTTCCTTGGACCTCTACTTTCTTAGATGTCCTCACTCCCTCTAAAATCTTACAAAACTGCCTATTTGACACCTCTATCAAAAAATCTCATTAGAGCTCAAACTCAACATAATCCAAATCCAAGTTTCAATCTCCACTCCTACCCCCTTCAACCTGCCTTCAACTCTTCCTTCAGTCTTCCCCAACTCAGTAAATGGCAATGCCATGCTTCTAGTTGCTCAGGCCAAACTCTTGATTCTTTTTCCTTTATCTCCCACATCCAACCCATCAGCAAATCTAATAGGCCCTGCCTCCACAGTATATCCAAAGCAGACCACCTCTTTTGATCTCTGTTGTTAGCACTCTATTCCCAGCCACCCTCATCTTTTTCTAGGATTGGAGCTATAGCCTCCTTCCAAAAACCTTCCTTATAATTCTTATATTCCCTATAGTCTATTCCTAATAAAGAGCCAGAGTAATTGTTTTGAAAAAAAGTCAAATTCTGTTCCTCTGTTCAGAACCATCCAGTGATACCACATCTCACTCAGAGTAAAGGCTGTAGTCTTTAAACTTAGTAGGCCCATGTGGCCTAGAATCCCTATCCTACTTCATGTACTACCATTTCCTTCCTTTTTATGCAGCTCCAAGCACTCTGGCCTCAGTGTTCCTCTTCAAAGCACCAAGTACAGTCCTGCCTCAGAGCCTTTGTTCTCAGTATTCTCTCTGACTTAACTGTTCTTTTTCCAGATATTCACGTAGTTCTCTGACACTCTTTAGGTCTCACTCAGCTGTTACCTGATTGAGACTTACCTTGACTAACCATCGCTATTCCCTTCTCTGTAGGTCCATAGCACTTAATCATAATCTGACTTTACTAAATAAGCACATGTTTGTTTTCTTTATGGGAATATAAGCTCCTTGAGGACAGAAAGTTTTTTTCTGTTTTGTTCACTGTTGAATTCTCTAGTTTGTAAAGTAGCGTCTGCCTCATATTAAACACTCAGTAAATATTTATTGAACAAAGTTGATGGAACTTTTGTTTTTTGAAAGAAAGAATAGGTTTAATTACTGGATGTTTATGATTTTTCATTTTGTTTAATGTGATTTTTTTATTAGAATCATCTGCATTCAAGTCCAGTATTAATAATGGTAATCCAAATTGTTTGGAAGCAAAATAATCACAGTAGCAAAGTGTGGCAGAATTTGGGCAGTAACCTTAATTGTGATGGAATAGTGATGTTAAGTAACTAACGTATTAAAGATCTAGTTTAGTTTATGACTAGAACCTATTCTAAATGTTGAACATATTCTTAGCTAGACAATGAATTATTTCACTTACGAGAAGTCCATCCAAACCATAAATTTTTCTAGTTAAAATAGGGTGTGTGAATGCCATATAAATAGAAGTTGCCAGTTGATTCAGGAAGCAGAGATAGAAGATCACAGTTTGAGACCAGTCCAGGCAAAATGTAGTGAGACCCTATCTTAAAACAAGCCAGTGTGGTAGCACATGACTCTTAATTCCAGCTACTTGGGAGGTAGAGGAAGGAGGATTGTGGTCTGAGGCCAGCTGCAGCAAAAGTGTGATACTATTTCTGAAAAATAAAAAAAGCAAAAGGACTGGGAGTGTGTGGCTCAAGTAGTAGAGCACTTGCCTAGTGAGCACGAGGTCCTGAGTTCAATCCCTAGTACCATCAAAAGAAAAAAAAACTCTGCTACTTGAATGATACTGGGAAATAGGAAAGAAAGCAAGATAAGACAGGTTCAGGGTAACTCAGGAAGCAAAATAAAAAGATAAAAACCTCTAAGTGCTATTAATATTTCTGAAATTACAATTTCAAAAGGAAATACTGGGCCAGGCATGGTGGTATACACCTGTAATCCCAGCACTTGGGAAATGGGGACAGGAGGATTGAGAGTTCAAGGTCAGTTTGGACTACATAGCAAGACCCAGTCTCAAAAGAAAAGAAAAAGAAAGGAAATATTCCTGTCATAAAATTTAAAAATCATAAGCACATAGTATGCTTTTAGTGAAATTTACTGGGAAGAAAGAACCCAGAATGTCTCCAGATGGTTATTGGTAAGTGGTAAGTTTTTTTTTTAAATATAGAATCATAATATTGTATTAATTAACGTTGATCAGTTTAAACATTGAGTATTAGAATAACTCAATGGATTTTAAATGAGCATTGACTTTTTTTTTTTTTTTTTTTGATGCTGGTGTTTGAACTCAGAGCATTGTACTTGCTAGGCAGGCGCTCTACCATTAGAGCCACTCTGCCAGTCCTAGCATTGATTTATTTTGCATATTTCCTCTGTAAGCTGCATTAAGATATTGCTTCATCTGTGTTTTAAGTATTTCCAGTGGATTTTTCATTTTTCAGGTGCTATTTACTGATCATGGAGTTTATTTTATAATACATGTTTTCTCCTTTATCTGTAAATGTATTTGTACTTTGTCCTTCTTGAGGAAAAGGTGTCCTTCCTTTCTAAACTCCATTGGATTCACCTCCTTTGTCTTCCATCCCATGTTTCCTGTATTCTCAATGCACCATTTACTTCCTCCTTTCTTTTTTTTTTATAAACATGGTAAATGTCTTCTTGAACCTAAAAAGAAAGGCCAAAACCCCCAGTAGCAAATCTTCCTTTCCACGCTTATGCTCTTTTCCTTCACATCTGACTTCTAAAGTGCTTGCGGCCTGTTTCCTCACTTCTCAGTCCTTCCTTCACCCATCAATCTCTCTTTAGCTCCTATTTTCCTATGATAGTCTGGGAAATGGGACCAAAGACTCCCTTTGTCAAATCTAGTATCTTTTTACCAGTCATTGCTATCCCTTTTCTATCCATAACCTCTACCTGCTGACTACTCCCTCTTTGGCTACTCTTCTGGTGTTTTTGTGGCAAACAAGATTCCTCTCTGGTGTCCCAACCCCAGCTCTCAGTTAGTGCTAGTTTTTTGCCTGTGCAGTCTCATCAGTGCCCACAGCTTCAGATTTCTCTCATGCTGTCTGAATGCATCTTATAAACTGGCTTCTCCTTTTGCAGTCTTTACTTTCCTTAATGGCATTACCATTTACCCTACCATCCAAGATAGAAACTCCAAAATCTTATTTTATTCTGTCTTCCTCACATTCATACTTAGTCCTTTTGAGTCTGCCTCCCAAAAATCTCCTGTATCTGTCTCTTCCTCATTCTTGCTGCTTTCTAAGTAAAGGCCTTCATTTTCCCCTCCCCAATAAGAATTGTTCCTTATATTCCAGTTAAAAATATCCCATTCTCTGTATACCTTATTATATAGTTAGCATTTCTTGAAAAACCTTCTTTTTCAGGCCTCCATACATGTTAGTCACTGTGCCTCTGTTCTTCTACAACTGAAACACTTATCCCTAATACCAGGCTTCTCTGTGAGGCATGGTTCTGCCTCCTAGTTGAGGGGCAGTTGTCATATGTGCCCATGTGACAGATCTTCTCCCACTGGATTATAGTCAGTTTAGTGTCTCACTGATCTCTGGGACTCCAGCATGTAGCACAGTCCCTGACATAATTGGTGCTGAATAAATGGTAGCTATTTTTTAACCTGGCAGGGAAAGCAGTGACACCAAGATGACTTATCTTAGGAAACAGACTTCTCTTCCTTGGTCTGCTGCGTCCTTTTTCTTTAGAAGACCTTCATGCAGCCCCTAGAAACTGAAAGCAGCTTTACTGGGAATAGAAGTGGTGAATGTAAAAATTCTAGTTACTAGGAAGATTTCATGCCCCTGACCTTTCTAGCTCTCTGTACTATATGTGGTGGGTTTAATCTCAAGTATTTCTCATGTACTTCCTTGACACTTTACTCCTGCACAGATACTCCTGTATTCATGTAGTAAATCATATGCCACATTTTGAATGCACAAAGCACCATGTCAGGTATGGGAATACCTCTAAACCACTATTCTGATTTCTGTCATCTTAATGGCCTATTAAATTGGTAACTAGATCTCTCTACTCATAATGTTAGTGTACAGAATAACTGGGTTATCAATTTTTAATGCTTAAAATAATAATTATGTTTTCCATGCTAAGAGCAACTTAGAATTGGTGATCCAGGCTGTCTAATAGTACCATATAATTTTTTTGTCATAAATTGATTTATTGAAGTATTACTACATGCTGTTAGCATGGAAAAGCAGTAATAATAGAGATTGTTTTTAGTTAGGCAATACCCATTCTACCTACCTCATAGGGGTGTGTTTTGTACGAAATAAAATAATGCCTAAGAAGAAACACTGTAAATTGTATACTGCTAATCAGGTATAATAAATAAAGCAACATCTGTGTATATCACATGGCCCTAATTAATCTCTAATTCAGCACTCCCAGTTATTTAGTACCCAGCAGAGGAAAATCACTATGGATAGACGATTTAGTAGCGACGCTGAGACAAATTTCTTTTTAGAGTGACTAGCTATTGCCCAGAACTGGAAAACTTTCCTTAAGCCCAAACTCTTTCCAGAACCATTTCCTATTGAAAATGTCAGTTATTGACTTTACTTTTAAAATTCTGTGACTCATTAATTTCTTTGCTGAATCTGGTTATGAATTGGGAGTGGTTTGATTCTGATAAGACTGCCACTCAAACTCTGGTTTGAGTTCATAAGTTGAATATGAAAGGGGGAAATGAGAATGCTTTTTGCATCACATTTGTTGAAAATTTCATGCTGCTCATCATTATAAGTGCAGAAGTTAGGTAATCAGCAGTATCAATGTATCATTTTATGTTTTTAAGACCTAGTCTAATTAATGTTTTAACTACTACATCTTAGCAGGATTTAGCTAAAACACAGTTCAACAGTGTACAGGAGCAAATAACTACTCCATTTTAAATGTTGCTTTAGGACAAATACCACATTCTAGTAGTTATTTAAAGGAGTGGAATACTCTAATGCTTTTTTTTTTTTTTTTTTTTGGTGGCACTGGGTTTTGAACTTAAGGCCTCAAGCTTGAGCCACTCTCCCAACCATAGTCTAATATTCTTTTAACTTGTTGCCACAACTTTAGATTACTATTGAACTCTCAGAACTTTAAAGAATTACAAATAAAATTCATTCAATGCCTATGTGAGTGGTAATATACAATAATTAGTACAAAATATTGGTTCTTCAACAATTTTTTAAAGGATATAAGCAGGTAAATAAAATATAAACTTGTGGTAAAAAATTTATCAAATTTCATCTTGCCCATTTTTCTTCTTTAGCTTTATTATCTAATCGACATGTAAGTTTCCATAAAATAATAAGATATATGTAAGAGTATTTTGGGATCCTCTTGTGGAATTGAATCTTGTGAGAGACTTCACTGGTGACACAGTTTTTATTGGGTAATTAGCTGATACTATAGGTCACTGTTACAGTTCAGTTAGCTTTAAGATGAGATGGAAAAGAAAACAAACATTTTGAGTAATGATCAGTCTTAAATGCATGAACTCTTTAGAGATGACACCTGTTTTAAAAGTGTGTACTTAAAAATACTATTAGCAAGCCCAGCATGGTGGTACATATCTATAGTCCCAGCACTGGAAAAGCTGAGGCAGAAGGATTGCCTGACCCTAGGAGTTCAAGACCAGCTTGAGCAACATAAAGGAAAAACCCTCATCTCAACAAATAAATAACAATAAATACTATATTTTATTTTTTCTATACTTAATGACTGGAATGAATGTGGATGCACTGAAGAAAGTGGTTTTTTAAAAGTTCTCATTTAAACTAAAGCTGTGTATTAAGATGCAATAGTTTTTAAATGTCAAAATACCTTTTATTGTACATATTACCTTTGTAATATCTTTGTATACAGTGATTTTTTTTTTCTTGGTAATAAATAGGAAAAATTCTAAAACCCTCGCTAAAATTTTGTTGCTATTTTACTTTAAAAATATCCATCTTATTTTCTTAGTATTTATAGCATTTTGCTTATAGGAAAAAGTGTTGCTTGGAAACAGGCATTTTTATGGAATGCTGCAGCTGGGTATTCTTGCTTGTGTAACTGTCTGTTGAAATGATAATTTGTAGAGTACAGGAATGAAATGCCTTTTTAAAAAGTTTTCTTTTTCTTGGCTTATACAGCACAAACTTACTTTCACAGTTTTGGAGGTAGAAGTCCCAGGGTGCCAGTATGGTCAGGTTCTTTGAGGCTCTCTTCTTGGCTTGCAAATGTCCACCCTTTCTGTGTCCAACATGATGAGGGAGCAGGAAGGAGTTGAGATCCAGATATCTAGTTTCCTTCCTTCCTTCCTTCCTTGCCTCCCTCCCTCCTCTGCCCTCCCAATCCTTTCTTTAACATTTTACTTTAAATTCACATGAAATTTTGTATTCTTTGACTAACATCTCTCAGCCCCTCCCAACTGCACCTCAACTCCCCAAGCCCAGGTAACCATCATTCTACTCTCCACATCTGTAGAGTTCAACTTTTTTAGATGCCATATACAAGTGAGGTCCTGCATCTGTCTTTCTGTACCTGGCTTAGCATAATGTCCTCCAGTTCGTCTATATTGTTACAAATGACAGAGTTTCTTCTTTTTATGGTTGAATGTGTATGTACCATAAATACCCATTTATCCATTGATGGACATGTAGGTGGATTCCTTGATTGTTGTGAATAATGCTGCAATGAACACGGGAGTGCAGATGTCTCTTCAGCATACTGATTTCATTTCCTTGGGAAATTCTAATACTGGATGCTTAATTATAATATATATATAGGTATATATATATATTTTTTGTGGTACTGGAGTTTGAACTCAGGGCCTTATGCTTTAGTAGGCAAGTGCTCTACCACTTGAACCACTCTGCCAGCCCTTTTTTGTGTTTGGTATTTTCAAGAAGGGGTGTCAAGAACTTTTTCCCAGGCTGGCTTCAAACTGCGAGCCTTCTGGTTTCTACCTCCCAAGTAGCTAGGGATTACAGGTGTGAGCCACCAGCACCCAGCCGGTAGTTGTATTGTTAATGTTTTAAAGAACCTCTGCTTTTCACATGGCTGTGTTAATTTACACTCTTACCAACAGTGCAAAAGTTCCCTTTACTTCAATTTTTGCCAACACTTACCTTTCCTCTTTTTGATAATAACCATTCTAATAGGCATGAAGTAATCTCTTACTGTATTTGTTTTTCCAAATTAGTGATGTTGCGTATTTTCTTCATATGCCCATAGGACATTTCTGTCTTTAATTCCTATCTTTTGAGAAAATCTATGCAGGTTCTTTAAAAGGTCCATTTTTTGCGGTACTAGGGTTTGGACTCAGGGCCGCATGCTTGCTAAGCAGGTGCTCTACCACTTGAACCACTCTACCAGCCCTTTCTTGTGTTTGTTGGGCTCAAGATAGGGTCTCACGAACTATTTGCCTGGGCCTGGCTTTGAACTGATATCCTCCTGATCTCTGCCTCCCGAGTAGCTAGGATAACAGGTGTGAGCCACCAGCACCCAATGCTCCTTAGTTTTCTTGCTATTGAGTTCCTTACATATTGTAGTTATTAGCCCTTATCAGATGCATGGTTTATAAATATTTTCTCCTGTCCTTGTCTACTTTGTTGATTGTTTCCTTTGCTGTGAAGTTTGACATAATCCCATTTGTCTGTATTTGCTTTTGTTGCCTGTGCTTTTGGTGTCATATACAAAAAGTCATTGCCCAGACCAATATCATGGGGCTTTTTCATTTTCTCGTAGGAGTTTTGCAGTTTCAAGCCTTGAATTTAAGTCATTTTCAGTTGATTTTTGTATGTGGTGTGATTTACAGGTCTCATTTCATTCTTCTGCAAATGTATCGAGTTTTCCCCATACCATTTTATTTTTTTGTGGCATTGGGGTTTGAACTCAGGGCCTCACGCTTGCTAGGCAGGCACTCTAACATTTGAGCCACTCTATCAGTGCACCGGGCACCACTTATTGAAGAGATTGTCCTTTACTCATTGTGTGTTTTAGTACCTTTGTCCAAAATCAGTGACATTTGGTTCAAGCAGTACAGCGTCTGCCTAACAAGTACAAAGTCCTTAGTTCAAACCCCAGTACTGCTCCCCAACAAGTTAAAAAGTATCGCAAGAGTAGTACTTTTTACTAATAAAAAGTGTACCATTTTAAAGAATCAATTCAGAAAAGCTTTTATCAGGGTCAGGTATAGTAGCACATGCCTGTAACCCCAGCATTTGGGAGATGGGAGGCATGAACTACATAGGGAGACCTGGTCTCAACTTCCCTCCCCCTAAAAACAGAAAAGCTTAATGTCAAAGTTCATTCTCATCCATGGACTTAAAAATCAAAGAATAAGGCAGGTGTGATGGCTTACTCCTCTAATCACAGCTACTCAGGAGGCAAGGACTGGGAGGATCATGGTTTGAGACCAGCCAAGGCAAAAAGTTATGGAGACCCCCCTCTCAATAACCAAGGCGTGGTGTATGACCCTGTGATCCCAGCTATTTGGGAGGCCATTAAAGTGGCAGGATGTTGGTTGTGAGGCCACCCCTGGACAAAAACATGAGGTCCTATCCACAAAAGTAACAAGGTATTGGAAGTGTGGCTCAAATGGTAGAGCACCTGCCTAGCAACTGTGAGTTCAAACCCCAGAACTGCAACAATAACAACAAAAAAAGCTCCAAGAGAAAAGCCCTGACAGTGTTTTTGTCTTGTGAAATGGAGATTTAACTTCTAAATTTACTTCATGTAACTTGTACATGTAACCAGTTATCCTATGTAGAAAATTCACATTTTATCAATTCCATTTTTTCTTGACTTTTCAGGTATTCAAAGTTGGTATTTTTCCTAAATTAAACCATGGGGTGTATTTTGGGACAAGGAGATATTAGAGAGAAAGAGATATTAAGAACAAAGGGCCTTTTCTCTAAATATTATTTTAAAAGACTTCTAATTTAGGCAACCCTTAAAGAAGGAAATCATAAAACTAATTTTAAAATTTTATATAGGCAGAAAGGAAGCTACAGTTTTTATTATTTAATGTTTCCAGTTCTGCCTTATCAAAGACCTACATGAATTTTTTAGCAACTTGTGTCTCAGAATTATATGAATGTTTGGAATAAGTATTTAAAGCTACTGTTTACTGTTTACTTGAAATTTTGTATATCTTAGGAAAAGAAATTAAAGAAACAGAAGTCTTCTTATTTCGGCTTACTAAGAAGGTTCTTGATTCTTCTATACTGCAGGTCCACTGGATTCAAAGCTGAGCCAAAAGAAACCTAAAAAGCTTGCCCTAAGTTACTTAAATGTCTTTTGTAGCAAAATTTCCCCAGAAACTGAGAAATACCACAAAGATGTTCTTAACCATTCTATCAAAGTTTATTTCTGCCATCTCTTTCTCATTTTCTGGCATTGACAATCATGAAAAATGCATTTGCTATTTTTTACACATGATGAAACACATGGTTTCAAAGTAGCAAGCTGATGTTTCATGTCAATTATAACCATTTTCTGATATCTAAAGCAGATCTTGGTGTCTGTGAGCTATGTTTAATACAGAAATGAGAAATTGTAATCAAATACTATCCAAGTCATATGTATCTAAAAACCCAAATAGTTGAACTGATAGAAATTATACTTAAATCTGGAATTTTAATGAGCCTCCTTTCTGAAAATTTTCTCCTAATGATACATCTAATTTCTTTAGGTTCACTTATTTAAGATTTTTCCCTCTTATAGTGTCAACTGATGATTACCTTATTAACCAATGATAATTATGGAGACTTCATGAAATATACTTGGCCCATTTTTTGTAAGCTCCTTGATAGTTGAATCCCAAAAGTCAATTCTCATGGTTATGTGTGTGAGTTTAGTTGGCATTCATAGGTGTCTCCATTGTACAACAGGTGACCAATAATAAGGGTTTATTAGAAAGGACCCTAGGGACTAGCTTCAGTTGTATCCTATATACGGAAGTAACTAAACATTTAGGTGTCATTTAACTTTTACTCTTTTGGTTTCCTATTTAGAAAATTGGAGACAATATCCTACCTGGCTTATTAAGATATTTAAAACTGGCTAATACATTGTAACAGTGAAATAATTCACTTTACTTTTGTTTAGCATCTCAATTTTTTTTTTTAAATTCTTAACCCTGGGACTGAAGTTATTGCAGGCACTTACTTCTCCTTATTGAAAAGATTTGTGAGTGCCTCTTGCCATGTTGTGCTTCAATTTCCAAGGTTCACTTTCCCTCCACAGGAGAAATGCACCGGCAATTTTAGGTTGTCAAAATAATAACTTGAAGTCACTAAGATTTATAACAAATCACACCCAAAAGTACTTCCATTGGTAATAGCTTGCTTGAGGTATACTGAGAAAAATATTAATGATGTTAGATTTGGCATTTGATATCTTAGATTATAAGATACTTTGCTACATAAATCTAGTTATCACTTTTATTCAGATAATTTAAAAAATTCAGAACATGATTTTAAAGGCAGTATGCCTCCTGTGGAAGAAATCTTGCTGAAAGAAATTACAACTTTTTGGATTAACAGTGTTTCCTGTTTGCATACATCTCTAAAGAAAGAATTAAGGAGAGTCTCATTTGTGAAAGTGAGAGAGGGAATGAGATAAATGATAAGATATCCTTGGAACAATTCAACACTATATATTTATATATCCTGAGATGTTATGACAAAATTTAAAAACAGATCAACATGATCCAAGTGGTTTCCAAGACACCGATATGGTAGGTAAACAGCCATTTTCAGGGTATGCTGCATGGGTGTCCACATCATGCCAGGAAAATCCTAATCTTGTCTCCAAATGTGAAAATTAGTCATCCAAAGCAGGTGGCCAATCAACATCTACAGACTAAAAGTGAGAAAACAAGTCATTAAAATATATTCTGGTAAGCATTTTCTGGTAATACTTTTAATATAATGTAGCAGAAAAAACTGCATTTGGTGGAGTGAGCTATTGAATTGAACACTCTAAAGTCCCTTCTAGTGATTTTGGGGCTGAAGACCCATTTTTAGTAGCAATATTTGCTTACTTGGCTAGTTTAATAATCTCACCTCCTGGTTTATTAGAGAATAAATTTAAAATTTTAAAATGTTCTTTATGGGTAAAATAGCAAACATTCAAATTCAGGTAGCTAAACTAGTTATCCCTCAGAAGACTCAGCAACTTTTATTCCTCTGATCATTTTCATTTTGCCATCTTTCCTTCAACTAATACAGTCATGTGTCATTTAGTCAAGGGACCCATTTTGAGAAATGCATCATTAGGTGGTTTATTCACTGTATAAACATTACAGTGTACTTACTCAAATTAAGAAAACTCTGATGTCACCAGGTGATATAATGTCACAGGACCACCATCTCCTATATGCTGCCCACCATTGATTAAAACATCATTATGTAGTATGGCTATACTCAAGTAGTCTGTACTGTTTGTAACTTAACTAACTGTGAAGTAAATGAATACGAAAGATCACCTAGAACTAGAAGATGATTAGGGATCTTTTCTTTTTACTTTAGAATTCTTGGGATTTTTACTGTTGTTTGTTTGCTTTTTCGGTAGTCCTTGGGTTTTGAACTCAAGGCTTCCCACTTACAAAGCAGGCACTCTACGGCTTGAACCACACTTCTGGTCCATTTTGCTCTGGTTATTTGCCCAGGCTGGCTTCAAACTGCAATTCTCCAGATCTCAGCCTCCCAAGTAACTATTATTACAGGCATGTGCCACAGGTGCCCATCTCAGAATTCTTGTTTCTTTTAAGGTCCAATTCATTTCTTATCTCTACTTACCTTAATTTTGCTCTTCTAGAACAAAACCTTTAAATTACAATAAGCAGTCTATTTTGTCTCCACATAAACAATCACATGCCAGGAGTATCAAAGTACATCTTGTATTAAAAAGAGACCTATTTTAACAGAAAACTTTTAAAAAATCCACAGTATCCATGGTTTTTATTGACATTTAAAATTTAAAACTTGAAATGATTTATTGAAAATAAAATTTTCATTAGTACATGAGTCACTTCACATTCCAGAGTCATAAAAACTGTTAAAAAGGCCCAAATAAGCAATGTGTATGTATTTTTTATAAACCTCAAAAAGAAATTTTAGTAATGTTTCAGAATATAGCCATATACTAAACACCCATATTTAAGTTACTGAGTGATTTCTCAAATTGCAAATTAAACATCAGTAACCACTACTGTGTGTGTGTTGTGAGCAGGGAAGGCAGGCATATTGTAGTGTTTATAAAGCGCTACAATCAAGGTTGAGAAGCCCTGACCGTGACTCCGACACTTCTAAACTGTTCTATGAATTAATGCAAAAAGGACTAATGCAGGCTAGGGGGTGGCTCAGAGATAAAGCACTTGCCTAATACTCATGAGGGTTCAACCCCAACACCACCAACACAAAAAATGCAGTCGGGATTTTCCTTAATAGATGGTTGTCCTCAAAATGACAGTCTCATTGAAGAGGCTGCCTATAGTCTTGAAGGCATGTCATTGGCTGCACTCCAGGAGCTCTGTAAAATCTAACTTGAGAGCACTTGAGAGAATTGATAAGGTAATCACAGTCATTTCATTACCACAACTATTTTCACATTAGGCAATATACCCACTTCTTTTCATAACTTTTATATTATCCTTAAGTGAAAATGCTAGCTTCTCCTAACATTTTAGGGTAGGGCAGTAAGTCTACTCCAAATCAGATCTCCATCAAGGAGCACCATTTGTGACTCAGTATCTACTGATGCTCAAATAAAAAAAAAAAAATCAGGGAGAAGTGCCTGAAAAATCCATTCTTCTAATTACTTCAGAATTTAACCTTGTTTTGATTCAAACTATAAGAGCAAAGAACCACATCACAGCGGTCCCTTATGGAACAGCTTTGAACCTCATCACAGGGATCCCTTCAAAAATCATTTTTGTTTTGTTTTGTTTGAGAAAGGACATCACTATGTAGTCCAGGCTGGTCTCAAATTCTCGATCCTCCTGCCTTATCTCCCAGGTGTTGGGATTATAGGCATATACCATCACACCTGGCTTAAAAATCACTTTTATTAATAACCATTGGCTTCATCCCATTTTCTACCCTGTCCTAAATATACATTTCTGAACGGGCTCCCTTAATTTCTTATTAAAACAAATAGGTATGGAAATCAACCTCTTTAAAGTTTTAATCTGATTATACCACATGTAAATTACCAAATGATAGTAAGTGATACCAGTTAGTAAATTAGCTATATATTCCATAAGGATTATAAATGATACACTGAAGCTGGGTGTGGTGATGCACATCTATAATCCCAGCATTTGGGAGACTGAGGCAAGAAGATCATGAATTCAAGGCCAACCTGGGCTACGCAGACCCCATTTCAAATTAATAATAAAATAAAATATATCTTGTTATTTTTTTAAATTTAATTTTTTTTCAGGCAGTCACTGGGCTTGAAAACTCAGGCCTCATACTTGCCAGTCAGGCCCTCTCCCACTTGAACCACACCTCCAGTGTCCATACCTTGTATTTTTTGTTGTTGTTGTTGTCCATTTAATTCACATGTGCATACATTGTTTGGGTCATTTCTCCACCCTGCCCCTCTCCCCCACCCTTCCCCCACCTCCTCAGTTTCAGGCAGGTCCCGTTCTGCCCTTGTGACTGATTTTGTTGAAAAAAAGACATAAAGCATAAAAGAAAGGACAAAGCATTTTTCTATTAAGGATAGCTAACAGAGAGATCCTACTATTCTTTCATGTACCCATGTGTTACGACCCCATGTTGATTCAACTCTAACTGATTCTTTAACATGGTTCCGATCCCTGCTCATGATACCTGTCGTCTTTTAAAGATTTCTGTATTAGTTCCTTCTGGAGTGGGGGATATCCCAAATGCTTTCATATTTGGGTTTTCTAACTTATCCCTTGATGTTCCTCCCCTATGTGCTCTCCCCTTTGTCATTGATCCAAGGTCCCAAACCATTATTGCTGCATTTGCCTTAGACTAAAGTCTTGCATATGAGGAGAGAAACATACGATTTTGGTCTTCTGAGCCTGGGCTAACCGCTCAGAAATGATGTTCTTCCGTTCCATCCATTTACCTGCAAATTGGTTAAGATTTTCATTTTTCTTCATTGCTAGTAAAATTCCATTGTGTTACCACAACATTTCTGATCCATCGTCAGTATGGGACACTTTAGTATGTTTCTCATAAACTTTGGCTATTATGAATAGTGCTGCAATAAACATGGGTGTGCAGGTGCCTTCTGGATAACCCTGGGTGCACTTGCTTTGCGGTATATCCCCCAGGAGTGGGATTTGCTGGATCATATGCAGGTATTTTAGATTTTAAGAAGCTCCAAATTTTTTTTCCAGAGTGGTTCCCCCAGCCACTGGATTAGGGGTTCCTTTTTTTCCTACATTTCCTCACCAGCACTTGTTGGTGGTGTTTTGTATGATGGCTAATCTAAAACCAGGGTGAGGTGCGAATCTTAGTGGCCGTTTTTGATTTGGCACCTTTGTGGCTAGAGATGATGAGCATTTTTTTTCATGTGTTTTTTGGGCAATTTGAATTCTTCTTTGGAAAAAGTCCCGTTAGTTCAGTGGCCCATTTCTAATTGGTCATTGATTTTTTAGAAGAGTTTTAGGTTTCTTAAGATTTCCCTGTATATTCTGGTTATCAGTCCCTTGTCTTTGATGTATAACTGGCTAATATTTTCTCCCACTTTGGGGTCTTTTCAGTTAGAGACCATTTCTTTGTTGTGCAGAAGCTTTTTTAATTTTATGCAAGTCCCTTTTATTCATCCTTTCCCTTAATGTGGGCTGGCTGGGTTCTTATTGAGAAAGTCTTTGGCCTATACCCTATTTGTTCCAGAGTGTTTCCTGCCTCCTTCCTGTAGTAACTTCAGAGTTTCAGGTCGATATTTTAGCGTCCCTTGATCCATTTTGAGTTGATACTAGTACAGGGTGATAGACATGGATCTAGTTTCAGTTTCTTGCATATGGTAAACCACTTTCCCACCAACATTTGTTGAAGGAGGCTGTCTTTTCCTCCAATCGGTATATTTTTGGCACTTTGCTCAAAAATGAGGTAGGCGGATAGTTTTGTGTGAGTTTTTCATATCCGGGGTCCTCTATTTCTGTATCCACTGGTTCTTCATGTCTGTTTTTTGTGCCAGTTACCATGCTGTTTTTATGCTACTGCTTTGTAATATATTTTGAAAGTCAGCGTATTGTGATATCTCCATCATTGCTCTTTTTGCTGAGTATTGCCTTGGCTATTCGCAGTCTCTTGTGTTTCCAAATGAACTTTAGGGTAGATTTTTCAATCTCCGTGATGAAAGTCATTGGGATTTTGATGGACTGTATTAAACATGTAGACTGCTTTCGGTAGTATAGCCATTTTTACTATGTTGATTCTACCGATACATGAGCACAGGAGGTCTTTCCATCTTCTGTAGTCTTCCTTGATCTCTTTCTTTAGGAGTCCACACCTTCTATTTTTTAAAAAGTAAAAATTCAGAAAATACTCACTCCCTCCAATACAATGCTACTGTGAGATTTTTTACCGTTTTGAAATACCTGTGAAGGTGAATAGTGCTGTTTGGCTTAATGCCAAAGGACCAACCTTTGGCTGAATTCCACTGGCAAATGTGTATTGCACAATAAAATAGTTTACCTCTACATCCAGCTCAAGAATGTCTGCAGTCACGTTCATCAGAGAGCCAATGTTCGGCTTAGTTCTGCCGAAGTCTCCATGTACAAACTCTTTAATGTATCTGAGGTCTGTTTAAGGGAAAAATGAGGACAGCCATGCTAATACAACTATTTCACAAAGTGAAAGTGAAATATCAACAAAAGCCAAAAATGTTACAAGAGGTCATTTCATGAGTTTGACTTGAGATGCCATGTCTCAGAAAAATAACTAATGACAACCTGTGTGTCAACAGCAGCACCTAGGACCTGTGTTTTATTGTTAAAACTTGCTCAAAGCCATGACTTCCTTGTCTTTTAAAGCCATCTCAATACTCACTCCCTCCAATACAATGCTACTGTGAGATTTTTTACCGTTTTGAAATACCTGTGAAGGTGAATAGTGCTGTTTGGCTTAATGCCAAAGGACCAACCTTTGGCTGAATTCCACTGGCAAATGTGTATTGCACAATAAAATAGTTTACCTCTACATCCAGCTCAAGAATGTCTGCAGTCACGTTCATCAGAGAGCCAATGTTCGGCTTAGTTCTGCCGAAGTCTCCATGTACAAACTCTTTAATGTATCTGAGGTCTGTTTAAGGGAAAAATGAGGACAGCCATGCAATACCAACTATTTCACAAGTGAAAGTGAAATGATCAACAAAAGCAAAAATGTTACAAGAGGTCATTTCTGAGCTTTGACTTGAGATGCATGTCTCAGAAAAATAAACTATGACAACCTGTGTGTCAACAGCAGCACCTAGGACCTGTGTTTATGTTAAACTTGCTCAAAGCCATGACTTCCTTTCTTCTTAAAGCTCATCTCAAAATGCCAAAGTCTGGGTATGGATTTTAAAAGTTTGTTATAGTTCAATGCTTTAAAAAAAAAACAACTATCTTTCTTTGCCACAACTTTCATTTTGTCATCTTTCTGGTCCCATTTTTTAATAAGAGCAACTGGCATCTACCACATGATAGGTTTCCACAGGATCACACACAAAGTGACCTCAGTGATGGCTTTCCTTATAGCATGATCCCATGACAATAAAACGGAAGGGAAAATGAGAATATTAATTTAGTCTTGATGAACGCCCTTCACAAGAATTATAAATGGACCTGAGTTCTAGTTGTTGCTAGAATTGCTTTGGACTATAAAAGAATTGAATTCTTTCTTTCTTTTCTTTTTTTCTTTTTTGAAGGGGCAACTTTGTATTTCCCTCTAAATTCTGAAGGCAATGTCTACTTCTGGAAGGTGTTCTTATAAGATTACATTAACATTCCTTCCACAGGACTTTCTTTTACCTTTGACAACATTTAGCTGAAATACAAGTTTTTGCCAGCATTCAGTAAATACACATACATGCATGCACATATGGGGTTTTGTTTTGGGCCGTACTTGAACTCAGGGCATCTCGCTTGCTAGGTAGGCACTCTACCATTTGAGCCAGTTCACTAGCCCTGTTTTGTTTTGTTTTGTGGTACTGGGGGTTGAACTCAAAGCCTTGTGCTTGCTAGGTAGGCGCTCTACCACTTGAGCCACTCCACAGACCATGTTGAAAAATCAACACTATAATATATTGTCACTATATATTTACTTTCTAAAAGTTTATTCACTCTTCCATCATCAAAGTTTGGACTTAAGAATAAGACACAGAAGATTCCAAGATGGCGGCTAGAGGGAGGAAGCAGAAAGCAAGCCTCCTATAGTGAAATCTTGGAGAGACGCTGGAGACACACTTTGCAGGCATAATCACTGAGAACTACCCCACAACATAGCATCATTAAAACAACAAGTTCAGAAACTAAGGAAAGAATATTGAAGGCTGTAAGAGAGAAAAGACAAGTAACATACAAAGGTAAACCCACCAAAATCACAGCAGACTTCTCAACAGAAACATTAAAAGCAAGAAGAGCATGGGGTGAGATCTTCTGGGCACTGAATGAAAATAACTTCAACCACAGGATACTCTACCCAGCAAACCTATCATTCAAAATAGATGGAGCAATAAAAGTCTTCCATGATAAGCAGAAATTAAAACAATATGTGACCACAAAGCCACCACTACAAAGGATTCTTCAAGGGATTCTGCACACACAAAGTGACACCCAACTGAACCATGAAAAGGACAGGCAGCACCAAACCACAGGAAAAGAAAAAGCAAGAGTAGAGAGTAACCTCAACTTAGGTACACACATCAAACCTTCAAACAACTAAGACAACTAAATGACAGGAATCACCACATACCTATCAGTACTAACACTTAATGTTAATGGACTTAATTCACCCATCAAAAGCACCGCTTGAACGAAATGGATTAAAAAGGAAATCCACAATTTGTTGCTTACAGGAGACCCATCTCACTGACAGAAATAAGCATAGCTTAGGATGAAAGGCTGGAAGAAGATTTACCAAGCCAATGGCCCCAAAAACAGGCAGGAGTAGCAATACTTATCTCTGCAAAGTAGACTTCAAACCTACATTGATCAAACGAGATAAAGAAGACATTCCATACTAATAAAGGGAAATAGACCAAAAGGAATATAATTATCAACCTGTATGCACCAATGTCAACACACCCAATTTCATCAAACATACCCTGAAGACCTAAAGCATTATAACTCCAACACAGTGGTTGTGGGAGACTTAACACCCCATTATCATCAATAGATAGGTCATCCAAACAAAAAATCAATAAAGAAATCCAAGATCTAAAATATCAATAGATCAAATGGACCTACTTGATGTCTACAGAACATTTCATCCAACTTCTACACAATATACATTCTTCTCAGCAGCCCATGAACCTTCTCCAAAATAGATCATATCCTAGGGCACAAAGCAAGCCTCAGCAAATATAAGAAAATAGAAATTATACCATGCATACTATCTGATCACAATGCAGTAAAATAGAACTCAACAACAAAAGAAGACAAAAAACATGCAAACAGCTGGAAACTAAATAACTCATTATTAATGAAGAATGATCATCGATTGAAATAAAAAGAGGAAATTAAAAAGTTCCTGGAAGTCAATGAAAATGAAAACAACAACTACCGGAACTATGGACAAGCAAAGCAGTCCTGAGAGGAAAGTTTATAGCCATGATGCATATATTAAAAGACTGAAAGATCCCAAATCAATGACCTAATGATACATCTCAAACTCCTAAAAACAAGAACAAGCAAATCCCAAAACAAATAGAAGAGAGAGAAATAATAAAAATAAGAGCTGAAATCAATGAAATAGAAACCAAAAAACCATACAAGAATTAATGAAACAAAAAAGTTGGTTCTTTGAAAAAATAAACAAGATCAATAGCCCCTGGCAAACCTGACTAAAATGAGAGAAAAAAACCCAAATTAGTAAATCAGGAATGCAAAAGGGAGATAACAACAAAACCATGGAAGTCCAGGAAATCATCAAGAGACTACTTGAGAACCTATATTCAAATAAATTGAAAATCTTAAAAGAAATGGACAGATTTCTAGATACATATGATCATCCAAAACTGAACCAAGAGGAAATTAATCACTGAATAGATCTATAACACAAAATGAAATTGAAGCAGCAATCAAGAGTCTCCCCAAAAAAGAAAAGTCCAGGACCTAATGATTTCTGCTGAATTCTATCAGACCTTTAAAGAAGAACTGATACCAACCCTCCTTAAACTGTTTCATGAAATAGAAAGGGAAGGAAAACTCCTAACACATTTTATGAAGCCAGTATTACACTTATCCCAAAACCAGGCAAAGACACCTCCAAAAAGGAGAACTATAGGCCAATCTCCTTAATGAACATTGATGCAAAAATCCTCAACAAAATATGGCAAACCAAATTCAAACACATCAAAAAGATTATTCACCAGACCAAGTAGGCTTCATCCCAGGATGCAGGGGTGTTCAACATACGAAAATCAATAAACGTAATAAACCACATTAACAGAAGCAAAGACAAAAACCACTTGATCATCTCAATAGATGCAGAAAAAGCCTTTGATAAGATCCAACACCATTTCATGATAAAAGCTCTAAGAAAACTAGAATAGAAGGAAAGTACCTCAACATTATAAAAGCTATATATGACAAACCTACAGCCAGCATTATACTTAACGGAGAAAACTGAAACCATTCCCTCTAAAATCAGGAACCAGACGGATGCCCACTATCTCCACTCCTATTCAACATAGTACTGGAATTCCTAGCCAGAGCAATTAGGCAAGAAGAAGAATAAAAGGAATACAAATAGGTAAAGAAACTGTCAAAATATCCCTATTTGCAGCACGACATGATCCTATACCTTAAAGACCCAAAAAACTCTACTCAGAAGCTTCTAGACATCATCAATAGCTATAGCAAGGTAGCAGGATAAAATCAACATAGAAAAATCATTAGCATTTCTATACACTAATAATGACAAACTGAAAAAGAATTAATGAAAACAATTCCATTTACAATAGCCTCAAAAAAAAATCAAATACCTAGGTGTAAACCTAACAAAGATGTGAATGACCTCTACAAGGAAAACTATAACTTCTGAAGAAAGAGATTGAGGAAGACTATAGAAAGTGAGAGATCTCCATGCTCATGGATTGGTAGAATCAACATAGTAAAAATGTCAAATACTCCCAAAGTAATCTTCATTTTTTAATGGCCAATTCCCATCAAATTCCAAAATGACATTCATTAAAGAGATCGAAAAAAAAAATCCTACCGCTGAAATTTATATGAAACACAGGAAGCCACGAATAGCCAAGGCAAAAATACTCGTCAAAAGAACAATGCAGGTTTGTTGGTATCCACATACCTGAACTTTCAAACTATATTTACAAAGGCAATTAACAATTAAAAACAGCATGGTACTGGCACAAAAACAGACATGAAGACCAGTGGAACAGAATAGAGGACCCAGATATGAAGCCACACAACTATAACCCACTTTTCTTTGACAAAGGTGCTAAAAATAATAGATGGAGAAAGCAGCCTCTTCAACAAAACTGCTGGAAAACTGGTTAGCAGTCTTGCAAAAAAACTGAAACTTAATCCATGTATATCACCCTTACCATAGTTAACTCAAAATGATTCAAGGACCTTAATACAGACCCCAAACTCTAAGTTGATACAGGAAAGAGTAGGAAATATCTGGAAGTTAGTAGGTATAGGTTAAGAACTTTCTCAATGAAAACCCCAGCAGCACAGCAACTAAGAGATAGCATAGATAAATGGGGACTCATTAAAACTAAAAAGCTTCTGTTCAATCAAAAGAATGGTCTCAAATTGAAGAGAACACCCACAGAGTGGAAAAAATATTTGCCAGCTATACATCAGACAAAGGGACTGATAACCAGAACTATATAGGGAACTTAAAAAAAACTAAATTCTCCCAAAACTAATGAACCAATAAAGAAATGGCAAGTGAACTAAACAGAACTTTCTCAAAAGAAGAAATTCAAATGGCCAAAAAACACATGAAAAAAATGCTCACCATCTCTAGCAATAAAGGAAATGCAAATTAAAACCACACTAAGATTCCACCTCACCCTGTTAGAATAGCCATCATAGCAACACCACCAACAACAGGTGTTGGCGAGGATGTGGGGAAAAAAGGAACCCTCTTACACTTTGGTGGGAATGTAAACTAGTACAACCACTCTGGAAAAAAATTTGGAGGCTACTTAAAAAGCTAAAATTGATCTTACCATTTGATCCAGACAATACCACTCTTTGGGGATATACCAAAAAGACTGTGACACAGGTTACTCCAGAGGCACCTGACACCCATGTTTATTGCGCACTATTCACAATAGCCAAGTTATGGAAACAGCCAAGATGCCACCACTGACGAATGGATTAAGAAAATGTGGTATCTATACCACAATGGAATTTTACAGCCATGAAGAAGAACGAATGTTATCATTTTGCTTAAATGGATGGAATTGGAGAAACATCATTCTGAGTGAGGTTAGCCTGGCCCAAAAGACCAAAAATGTATGTTCTCCCTCATATGTGGACATTAGATCAAGGCAAACACAACAAGGGATTGGACTTTGAGCACAGATAAAAAGCGAGAGCACAACAAGGGAGGGGTGAGGATAGGTAAGACACCTAAAAAATTAGCTAGCATTTGTTGCCCTTAACGCAGAGAAACTAAAGCAGATACCTTAAAAGCAACTGAGGCCAATAGGAAAAGGGACCAGGAACTAGAGAAAAGGTTAGATCAAAAAGAATTAACCTAGAAGGTAACACACATGCACAGGAAATCAATGTGAGTCAACTCCTGTATAGCTACCTTATCTCAACCAGCAAAAAACCCTTGTTCCTTCCTATTATTGCTTATACTCTCTCTACAACAAAATTAGAAATAAGGGCAAAATAGTTTCTGCTGGGTATTGAGGGGGTGGGGGGGAGAGGGAGGGGGCGGAGTGGGTGGTAAGGGAGGGGGTGGGGGCAGGGGGGAGAAATGACCCAAGCCTTGTATGCACATATGAATAATAATAAAAAAAATAAGAAGCAGAAAAAAAAAAGAATAAGACACATAATTACCTAGTAATTCTTTTTTGCTGATTATTCAACAATTATCATTCTTATTCTCTCACTTTCTTCAAAGAATGCTCTGAGTAGCAAAAACGAGAGATGACAAAAAAGCCCCAAAATGACTAGGAAAAAAAAGTCCAGAGAGGTTCTTATTCACATTCAAAGGGACAAGATTTAAGGAAAACAATGTAGCTCAGTGTACTGGGCAGTGTAAGTCCAGAGTACACAAAATAAATTTAGTACATGAGAAACTCATATACTTCTTGGATAACCATATGGTATCTAAAGCTTTATCAGGTTTTCCTGGTTAACTCCTTAAGTACATGTATATGGCTCATTCTAAAAATGTTTTAACAGGATTGAAAAGACTTTGCATTTTTCCTTGGCTCACAAAAAACTAAGGCCAGGATTAAGTAGAAGTTTCTTTTTTAATCTGTGGTTGGGAATGAAGTTCAGTGGTAGCATGTGTGAGGCCCTGGGTTCAAACCCAGCACCAAAACATAAATAAAATTTAAAAACCTCTGATTTCTTTGAAATCCCATCTACACTAGGCAAATGTGCTCCAAACAACAAAGATATAAATATTCATATCTGACAACTAGCGCCTACATAAAACATCTCTTGATCCAAATACAAAATTTAGAATTATTTTAACTTGGGATAAATACCCTAATACCTCCTGATTTCAGCTAACGTTTAAACCTTACATTGCTCCTGGTGCTGGGAAGGAGAAAGAGGCAGATTAATTATTGCATTGTAGTGATGATGTTATTTGGTAATTAAAATCCATTTTTTGTTGTTAGTTACTTAAGTATGTCATTACTTTTATACCAACTAGAAGGCATTTTAAAGCCGGGTAAGATGGCTCACACTCATAATCCCAGCTAATGTGGGAGATGGAGATCAGGAGGCCAGCCCAGGCAAAAAGTTAGTGAAACCTCCATCTCAACAAATTTAGGTGGTACAAACCTATAATCCCAGTTATTTGTGTGCATAGTTAGGAGGATCGAGTTCCAAGGCTAGCCTAAGTTAAGAAAAAAAAACAAAACCCTAAGAACCTATCCAAAAAATAACTAGAGCAAAATAGGGCTGGGGGTATAGCTCAAATGGTAGAACGCCTGTCCAGCAAGCACAAGGTCTTGAGTTCCTAAGTTCAAACCCTAGTACAGCGATGGGAAAAAAAGCATTTTTTTTCACTCTATGCTACTGGATTACTACACACACACAACACACACACACACACACACACACACACACGCACACACGCATGCACACATGCATGCACGCAACGAAAACACTAGAACACCTTTCAAAAGTAAACTAAAGCTAAGACTACTGGAGCTCCCTGATACATTTTAATCAGCATTCTGTTCTGATACAAAACCATGAGTCAAAAGTTAGGTGGAAGTATGAGCCTTGGAAGAAGGTTATTTAAACTCTGAATCTCAATCTTTTCTATAAAACATTCATACTTTGTGGTGTTTGAAAATGGTATTAATGTCAGAACAGCATTATCAACCAAGTTTATATAGCTCAAATAAATTATATGTAATCTGAGGTTTTTTGTTTTTGTTTTTTCACAAAGCAAGTAGAAAAAGAATATTCTCTGTTATTCTTGGCCAGTGCACAAGTAACATTGTTAAGATCAACATGTAACTGTATTCCCAGCATTTGGGAAGCTGAGGGAGGAGGATCAATGGAGTCAAGGAGTTTGAGATCAGCCAGGGCAACACAGTGAGAACTTTTCTCAAAATTAAAAGGAAAGTAGCACCATTTTCTTCTACCACTTGTGTCTAATCATCTAGGATAAATGCTAGAAAAGCAAAGGACACAAATATGGTCATGAATATGTGACTTACAAAATACGTAAAGACAATGAATGTAAAGCAAATGAATCAATCTTAAGTATTTTCTTAGTACTTTTACTGCTACCTGTTGTATAAGACATTGTAATTAACTGAAACCTTAAAGTTGACTGAATTGACCACTATCTCATGGCTTAATATGTCATTATGAAAAACACAAATTTAATAGAATAAAAAACCCCTCAAAGAAAGAAAGAGTGGATTCCTCTCCAATACAGTCCTTTCCCCAACACCTCTAGACCCAGGTGAACCCATTTTCTAGGACAGCACTAAGTCTAACGACTATTGCGGTGCAGAAGTGAAAGGATACGTTCCAGCTTGAGTCTTCAGACAGAGGCGAAAGTGATGTTCATCCACATAGTGTGTCTCCATGGAGTGGACAACCCGAGTCCTCACAGCCAAGGGCCTACGGTGAAGGACCCGGAGAGGTGTTTTCTGGTCGATCTTTAAGTCCTAGATGAGGACACACAACTATAGTCAGAACTTTGCCTCCCAGCAAAGCTTGTCTTAGTACCTCCTTTGCCATTTGCAGAGGACTCTATCACTGTCAGCATAGGAACAAACACTGTGATCAATTGTACGCTTAGGTTCAAATTCAATGGGACTTCTCAAAACGTCATTCGTAATTCCTCATTTGCTGAGCCCCTATACTACCATCGCCATAAAAGAAGGGTTTGGGCTGGGGATGTGGCTCAAGTGCGCGCGCACACACACACACACAAAAAGAAGGGTTCGGAAGTGAAGGATCCTAAAGGTCCCTTCTGCTCTAATATTTAACATATTGATTGGTTAGGACCCTGGAGTTCTAGCTTGCCTTTCACTTCAACAAATTACCCTCTTCTAGAAGGTAATTTAGTTCTTACATTTGGTTTCTAACCCAACAGAGTGAGCTAGCAGTGAGGATTTCAGGCTGGGTGAGAAATGGCTGGTTGCAGGAGGTGCCACCTCAGCACCACTTGTACAAGCGTACAAGTGCAGTGTGTATATTTTAAGGGAGAGCCATATTCTATTTTCAGGATTTTTATCGTTATACAAAGGATATATTTGGAAAAGTTGCATCATAGTTTAGCATGACATTGCATTGTAGTAATTACAAGTAAGTAGGTACTATGAACCAAGGTCACTAGAGATTTATTAGCCTGGCTTATGGAAATATCATGTTTTAATTCAGAGTTTTTAGAGACACAGTCTTTTTTTCACATTTCAAATTAGAGCTCTTCCTTTATTTCAGGAGATACAAATCAAGAAAGAGGTTAATACTAGAAAAGATCCACTAACTTCAAGTTTTAAAAATTAGATACTGAGCATAACCAGAACCATAGGCTCCTATGAACTTTAAATTCTCTTCAATTTCTTGTTGGAACGACTCTTCCTAATTTACATGATCAGCGAGTGCCTGAAGCCCTGCTAAGAAAAGAAAGGTTTCATTCTGGCCTTCCTCCTATCAGGTTCTCCACCTAGAAAGAAACGGCAAGTTCTGACAAGGACCACACTTGAAAGGATACTAATGCTTCTATCAGAGCAGCAGTCATGGCCCCTCCTATAACTCTGATTTTAGAAGTATTTTGTGTTGATGAAATGAGTTCTTTCTATAGGCTTGACTGGCCAAAAAGACCAAAAAAAAATAAAGGACAAGACTGAACTAAGTTAGGCTGGGGGTGCAGCTCAGGCAGCAGAGCACCTGCCTAGAATGCACAGGCCCTCACTTCAAACCCTAGGAAATGCCCTACCCCCCAAGATGGAACTATTAAAACTATTAAGGAATCTACAAAGATACAGCCTCCACTTCAGAGTACAGAAACAGCTGGCCTTTAAATGAGCAACTCTGATAAGTGCTCTTCTCCATGCTTCCTTCATCCTCTTGAGTCATGCCCAGTACTTTGACCATGACCCAGTCAATAGAAAAACCAACAGAGCTCTATACACAAGAGCACCATTTCCCATATAGCACTGAGATCAACACACACGCTCGTGCATCTTTTTGATCTGTTTGTGTTTTTAGACAATAAAAGGAAACCATTTCACTTACTCTTAACATTATACACTGTTAACCCATACTACCGTATTTTCAGAAACACACACACTTTTTTTCTTAGAAGTAAGTAGGCTGCCCTTTAGAAAGAGGGGACAAGTACTAAACCTGAAGTGACTTTTTCTCAGAATGGGGAAGTGACTCAGTTTTATTATTTTGATAGGAATTCTTGAAAACTAAAAATGTTACTGGATATCAACAGTATTATCTCTGAATTAGCTTGGCTACCCCCAAACTATGAATCTTTTTTGTTCTTGGTGTTGGGGATCAAGCCCGAGATCTCAGGCATTCTAGACAAGTGCTATACGACTTTGAATCTATTTTCTTGAATGAATTTATTTTTCCAACAGCATTCTGAATGACTTATACACACATGAAGGAATAAAGAAGTCCAGAAATCTGTTTGCGATTTTAAAGGTAACCATCTATGTTATAACTGCTAACCTAAAGGCCCTAGGGAGCAAGGGCAAAAGCCAGGGGGCCTAACTACGGCATCATAGAACCTAAGACATAAGGTCCCCTGGAGGAGACTCGGCCATTCTTCACTTTAAAGACAACTTTCCCTAAGCATATGAATGATGTGTTTTCACCAAACCACTCAGACAAAAAATGTTATTCTGAACTTGACGTTTTTCTCATACTGTCACGGATGCTCTACAAATCACAGATTCAGATATACCTGTGCTCTTTTTTCCAACATTTTTAGGCATGTATGTACACACTAACACAAACTGAATGGGATCATATGTTGGGTTTGTTTTTAACAGCTGTATAATATTCTGCTTTATTCCACCACTTCCTTTTGAAATCTGTTCTTTTTTTATTTTTTCAAGGCCATGCTGGCCTCAAACTCTGCGAACCTCCTGCCTTAGCCTCTTGAATGCTGGTATTATAGGTACACACTACTGTGCCCAGTGAGATGTTCATTTTGTTTCCAGTTTAGTTATTGTTGATTTTCCCACTTTGAATAAAGTCAGTAAACTTCCTTGTACTTACATTATGATGCACTGAAGTTTTATTTCTACTGGGTAGAAGACAGTGCATTCTTAATTTTTATAGTCATTGCCATGTTGGTTTCCAAAAAAGTCTGAAACGCATTATATTTCTACCAACAGTATTTGCACCTATCGTTTTCCTTCTCTCCATCTGCTGTTAGGTTATTAGTTTAAGGAGAAGAAAGTGATATCTTACTGTTACTTCATCCTGGAAGGGGAGCATCTTTCCAAATGATTCTTGGCTATTTGGAATTGCTCTTTTTTCAGCTGCCTGTTCATATCTTTTGTCTATTTTTATCTATTAGGTATCTGTAGTTTTCATAATTAAGTATAAATCCTATTTACAGTATCTTTTGCCATACGATTTATGTTCTACATAGTCATATTTGTATGCACATATATACATGCTTATATGTATGTGCTTAAATCACAAAGTTTTCCCTTCTGTATACTCTATGTATACTCTTACATATAAAAGGAAAAATTCATTAAATTTATATATATAACTTTCTATTAATTTTATATAAAACATATACAAAATATGTAAAAGGAAAAAGTACCATTTCCACCTTAGTACTTACCAGGAACATTTTCCTATGTTAATTATCTACCACATTATTTGTAACAGCTGGGTAATAACAATCCATGACATAGATAAACTATAACATCAAACCAGTCCCCTTTAGTAGGTCTTCTAGATTGTTACAAAATACTACCCACTGAAACAGTGTCATGACAACTACATGTATCTCTGGGCCCATTATGCTCATTCCTTGCATTTGAAAGGGTATTACGTTTATGAAGAGGTGAGGGCTGGTGGAGGAAATACACAAAAGAATAAGCAGACCCTCTATAGTGACATGCTCAGGTGAAGACATAGGACAAAATACGAATGCTTCACATATGCTATCACTTTTTATTCACGTATTTAGTTTTAGCATCAATTCTATGAAATAAATTCTATTTCATTTTTTAATAATAACCAAACATAACAGCAGCATTGCTATTTTTTTATGTGCCTGGTCCCATTCTAAGTGTTTTATCTGATTAGACTAACTTGACTAATTTCACAGATGAGGAAATTAAAAAAACAAGAGGTTAAGTAACTTGTCCAAATTCACACGAAATGCAGTTCCAGGATTTGCACCCAGGCCATATATCTTCTGAGTCAGGCTCTTAATCACTAGCAACACAGCCTCTCCAATGAGTTAGATGGAGCGCCCAGTCATTCACTAGTAAACAGCAGAGTCAGGATTTGAATCCAGGTTTCACAGACCTGAAACCCCATGTTCCTACTGGGAACAAACTAAAAGATAATGGATTCTTTTTATAGACAGTAGAAAAAATTCTTAATTTAATTTAATTTACAAAAGAATAAGAGCACTTAAACTACCTTTATATCATTTAGGAATTCAATGTCTTTCTTCTGTATTGCTGTACTTGTCCATATTAAAGCACTATAGGTCTTGGTCTTGTCTTCTTCACCTTCTTTCATGTGTCCTATTGCCTCTCTAAACAAAAATAATACAAGTTTTTCTGAATATATAAAATCCACTTGAGCCTTGCCCCAAATTTCTTTTTCTTTAAAAATAGCTTTACTGAAATATAATATAACATATATACAATTCTTCCCATTTTAACTGTACAATTCAATGATTTTAGTATGTCTTGACTTGTGTAACTATAACCATACTCTCATTTTAATAGTACTTTCATTATCCCCAGAAAGAAACTTCATACCCATTAACAGTCACTTCCCATTCCTCCTTTCTCCAACCCACAGATGGCCACTAACTGACTTCCTGTCTTTATAATTTCACTAGTTTGCACATTTCACATAAAATGGAATCATATAGTATGTGCTATTTGATGACTGGTTTCTTTCACTTCCTGATGCTTTCAGGATTCATCTGTTATAGCATGTATCAGTATTTCATTCCTTTTTTATTACCAAATAGTACTCCACTGTATGGATATAAAGTAGTACTCCCATATCCATGGTTTCACTTTCTGTAGTTCAGTTACCTACAGTCAACCTCCAGCCAAAACTATTAAATCAAAAATTCCAGAGATAAACAATTAATATATTTTAACCAACTTATGTTACAGTATATTGCTATAATTCTATTTTATTATTAGTTGTAGTTAATCTTTAATTGTGTCTAATTAGTAAGTTAATCATAGGTGTTATAGGGAAAACAAGGTATGTGACATGAGTCTGGTACTATCGCAGTTTCAGGTATCCCCCGGGGGTCCTGACACACATCCTCACAGAGAAGGGAACTACTGTACTGCATTCTGTTTATCCACAGGTATGTGGCTAGTATCTACCTCTGCTTTATGAATGATGCTACTATGAGCATTCACGTTCACGTCTTTGTGTGGATGTGTTTTCATTTCTCTTTCATATGTATATAATAACTAGAAGTGAAACTGCTGGATCATAGGGTAACTCCATGTTTAGTATTTTGAGAAACTGTCAAACTATTTTCCAAAGTGACCACACCTACAATGCCCCCAGCAATGTGTGCTGCAGTTTCTCTGTGTTCTTGCCAGCATTTGTTATTTTCTGTTTTGTTTTTGATGATAGCCATCCTGGTAGTTGTTGAGTGGGATCTCTGGTTTTGATTTGCACTGCCCTGATGACTGATGGTGTGGAGCGTTTTCATGTGTCCATTAACTATTCATATTGCCTCCTTGGAGAAATGTACTTAATCATTTCCCCATTTTTAATTGAATTGTTAGAGTTCTTTATAAATTCTGAGTGCAATTCCCTGATCAGATATGATCAGCAACTGAAACTTTCCCTTTGAAATCACCTCCAGTGAGCCTACCCTTACCTTGTGACAAGCTGTAAGTCACGTACTTGGATTTTGTTAGATGACTTATTAATTTTCTGTAGTAGTAGAAAAAGAAAAATAATTAGCACTCTAGCTCGGTTACAGAGTTGTAGAAACATGACGATTTCCATGTCATGAAGTGGTTTACCTGCTGAAGTTCCTTAATTTCTTGTGGAGTGAAATGTACTCTATGAGGATTCACCAGCTCAATTGCAAAGGGCCTTCCTGGCAGCACACACCCCGTCATGAAACAGAAACGTGTTGATGGAGTTAACATTTGAGCTAATGCAAGAGGGTTAGGAGGTGTGAAAAATGGGTTGAGCTCTAGAGGACTGAAAGTTTATTGACATGACTACATCTGGGGGAGGGAAGAATGTGTGAAAAGAATCAAGGGGCTTTTTGGGGGGCCAAGGGACTGCCAAACCTAGCAGAGGCAACTTGTGAAAATAACTGCTTTCCCAAAGGTCCACGAACAAGCCTGTATTAATTACAAAATAAAATTCAAAAACCTCTAATTAAGTTGGTTACACTAATGTAAGGTGGTCACATGCAGGAATGCCCAGGTACACCAAGCTGAAAACCATGCTCCAGTCAAATTTACTAATGAAATGGAAAAACTAAGATTCCATGAGAGGAAGGGACACAAATCCCAAACAACTCCACATTAATTCTCTTTACCTTTTTTATAATTCACAAGATAAAATGAGAGAAATGAAAGCTAAAAGAGGAGCGATCATTTTTAAGTGAAGATGTACATTTTGAAAACTACTGAAACTTCTGTAATGTTATTAAATGGAACAATTAATAATCAAATTTTCAGGGAGGAAGTCAGGTACCTCCTTTTTTTTTCTTTGGTGGAACTAGGAGTTTTAACTCAGGGCTTTACACTTGCAAAGCAGGTGCTCTCCCACTAGAGCCACACCTCCAGTCCATTTTGCTCTGGTTATTTTGGAGATGGGGGTCTCTCAAGCTATTTGTTTGGGCTGGCCTCAAGCTGTGATGCTCCTGATCACAGCCTCCCAAGTATGAGCCACTGCACCTGGCAGGTACCTTCTTCTTGATACACATAAAACTCCACGGATGCTCCTGATCTCAGCCTCCCAAGTATCTGCACCTGGCAGGTACCTTCTTCTTAATACACATAAAACTCCATTATAACCTACAGGTATGCAATAAGGATGTTTCTGAACAAACGACTCCTGTTCATACATATATCATAAAATCTACAAAGGCAGCTCCCTAATTCACTAGGCTCCCTTGCTGGATAAGCTCTGGGCCCTTCCCTCTTTGGCTCTAAGTTACTACAGGTAAGCCTACTGTCTGGAAAAGGTGGAAATCAGAAAGTTAGCTCTAACCAGGTGATGCTGGTGCAATCTTACCGTTTCCTAGTGTTCTTACATCTACGTCTTCTCTTCCAGAGGATGAGAAATTAAAACCTTTGGGAAGCAGATCAAGGGGAAAAACAGAAACATAATATCCCTGAGATACTTGTTTCCAACTTCTCATAGAAACCCATTATAAAGTCCTGACAATCTACAGGAGGACCCCAATGGGTGGTTATCATCCCATCTCTAATCCCCAACCTCTGCTAAAAATAGTAGTGATAATAATAAACAGTACATATTGGGAGCTATTTTATATGCCAGGCACTGGGGTAAAATTATGCATATATTTAAAAATATTTATTATAACTTTATGAAAAATTTACATACATTTACCAGGATCACACAACCAAATAGTTGAGCTAGTATTTTTGCTGTCAAAGTCAGATCTTACTCTCATCCCCTGCCATCACCCCATGAAAAGCCAAGGCAATAAGCTGTCTGAAGGTCAGCTACTACTCCCTGGCCACCAGCTTATAGTAAAAACTCTATTATCCTGCTTTTCCTTAAAACAAATTAAAAACATTAATTTACTGGATGAGGAGAAAAAAAGTCACACAACATTCTCAGATACAAAACAGACTGATGATTTCATCACCATAGCAAATACTACCAGGAGCAGCCATTTTTCTGAATACTTTATGTATGTTAACACTCATTATCTCCATTTTACTTATAAGGAAGGTGAGACAAACAGAATAGACACCTTACCTAAGGTCACATCAGTCTAAGAAATGCAGATCTAGTGATAAGGGCAGACTGGCACCACAATCTCATTACACCAGGTTACACTGTGCCACCCAGGATATAGTCAGAAGAACTCAGATTTATACCCAATGGGACAGGCAGAACCAGTCTTCCTTGACCAAAGACTGGGAAAGGCTGAGATATTTTGGGGAACTTTGAAGGGTCACTAGAGTGGTAAAGTTTACAGTCTGAACATAAATGTTGAAGGCAAGCAAAACTCAGAGCCACACCTTGATTAATCACCCAGTGAACCAATACCTATAGAAGGCCTGTGAGTAAAGCACTGTGCTTGATGCTGGAGAGCAATCAGATGGCACAGTTCTATCCTTTCAGAGCTCTGCAGAACAGGAATATGGATTATAATGTGGTAGGCAGACATGGGACAGGAAATATACAGGAACACCCCTGCACTCAGAGCACAATTCTAACACAAGCTGTGAGGTTTGTATTTATTCTTCAGTATTCCAGCCACTTTGGAGATCACAAGATAAAGAAGATTTCTAGGAAGAACAGACAGGAAAGGTAGGAGGAAAGAAGAATATATATCATTTTGGCAGCCATTTTCTCCGAGGAAAGATTCTATATGCAAAGTTTCCAGGCAAATTTGGGAAAAAGAAGGTCAGTGGAATGCATTATAATCACAGCTACTCAGGAGGCTGAGGCAGGAGGATCCCTTGAACTCAGAGTTCAAAGCCAGTCTAGGTAAAGCCAGAGGAAAGCAGGGAAGGAAGGAGGGAAAAAAGGTGGAAAGGAGGAAGGGAACGAACAAATAGGAAGGCTGAAGGGCTTAAAAAGTTCCATGAAAACAACTCTGAGGACTAGGCCCTCCTTTTTGGAATGTTTAGCTGTGAAGAAAGTAAAATTTCACCCTTCCTTCACCTTCAACAAATCCCTTTGGCAAGCCAAACCAAACCTTGTTGGAAATATAGACTCTGGGGTCTTTGTCACATAGTACCCAGGAAATGGGCTCGTCTTTGATCAGTACAACCCAAAGCTATATACCTCACAGAGAGGACTGAGCAATCTGGGGTTAGTTTAACAATATCTAGATACTCAAGGTAAGCCTGAAATTCAATCTATTTGTCAGACTCAGAAGTCTGGATGACCTGTGCTGTGTTCATGCCTGAGGACTGACCATGTGGGCTGAGATCAGGCTCTTTTCCAGGTGGAGAATCTAGTCCTGGAAGGGAACAAGATTCTGTAGACCACTAAGTCCCAAAGAACCCTCCCTTCTAGGTTTCTACTCCAATGTCAAGATACTAAGAAACACACAGCAACATCAGAAGCTTCTGATCAGGGTGCACTAATTTAGCACTAAGGACAGATGGCTGTAGTAAATGGAGAATTCAAAATGGCACTTAGGAAGCTAAAAGCTGTAGACTCTCTGGGGCAATGGTCTGTCTTTTACCTCCTGACCTCCATCTCTCAGTAAGCAGCATCAGGGAACAATGTGACAGAGCCAAAACTGGCAACTATCAGAGGTGGAAAGAATTAACAGAACTCAGAGATAAATACCAGTTCTTCTGACTCAGACAAGAAACTCAAATTCACATATCAACCCATAAACTTCTTATAAATTCCAGCCCAAAAAGAAAGGGGTACAGAAAGAAAGCCAGAGAAGCATTAAGGCCAGACCAAAGGAGAGTATGTATTAAACCTTTTTAAAAAAAAAGTTTCAAACTTGAGAACTACAGAAGCATCCTGGACTCTAAAGTGAGAGAAACTTGTAGGGGAAAACCTTAAAACTTTATTACTGTGTAATCAGAAATAATAGCTAACAAAAAAGAAAAAAGAGTTACTGCCTTCAGTATTAGAAAACACACCATTAAAATTTAGTTGAGTTTTCTAAATTCACTTTATGCCTTGCCTTATACTCCAACTTTTGTGGGTTCTTTGAGCCTCTGCTCAAAGGAAAAGATATGTCAAAACCATATTAAGCTGGACAAGGTGACTCGTGCCTATAATCATAGCTTCTTGGGAGGCAGAGATTGGGAGGATCACAGTTCAAGGCCAGTCTGGGCAAAAAGTTTCCAGGACCCCATCTCAAACAATAAAAGCTGGGTGTGTTGGAGCATACCTGCCATTCCAGCTACGTGGGAAAAGTAAATAGGATGATTATAGTCTGGGGCAGCCCAGGCATAAAACAAGACCCTATTTGAAAAACAACTAAGCAAAATAGGGCTGGAGGGCATGGCTCAAATGGTAGCAAGTGCAAGACCTCAAGATCAAACCCTAGAATCACCAAAAAAAAAAAAAGAAGGGCAAGAATTACCAAGAACGTTATCAAGAGGTTCAGTTAATCTTCAGTGGCCATAAAACCCAGGGAAAGACAATAAGACTGAAAGATGGGCAGAAGTCAGATGATGAAAGCCCCAGAATATCAAGTTAAGTAGTTTGGACCCTATCTTGTAGTTCACCATTGACCAGTTTTCATCAGGGAAGCTGACATGACAAATATTTATTCATTAAGTAATAAATGCAGTATTCTTATTACTTGTTAACTGGGAGATTAGCAAGTAGCTAAAAGAATGTACCAATTTACAGTGAGTGAGAAACAAGTCTGTATATCCCACTCAGGAGAAAGAATAAGTAATATACATGGCTAGGTTGCTCCATCCATCACTGGTTTATCTCCCAGAGCTGTAAAACTTAGGGGTACAATAGTCAGAATCATCTTCCTAGCATTTTCAGATATGAACCATTAACTAGAAATAAGAAGTTTAGCAAACTGATGCTCTTAATCAGAGATGTCCAACAAGGTTTCACCCCCTGACAGTTTGGATAGAGGCCCAGGCATCTGCTGTTTCTCAAATGGCCCTTAACAAATTTCTTCAGCACATACACTGAACACACAATTTGCTTTACTTTCAGTTTGGAGATAATTATTTCCCTCTTCAAATGGAAAGTGACAACAAATCACCTTCATGAAAGACCACACTGGGGAAACACACAGCTATTCCAGAGCCCTCCAGCAGCCCTTAAGACCTAAAGTCAGAACTGAAGAGTCCTTGAATCCTCATATGAAAGGATTACGGGGGCCCCAAAAAAACTCTGAAAGAGACTTTTTATATTGAGCTTTATTTTTACTTCTTCATAACTTGAATTAAGTCATATGAGATAACCAGTTTGTAAATTTCCTTATTTTTTATTTTTACTTTTTGCAGTACTAGGGATTGAATCCAAGCCTTTGTGCATACTAGGCAAGCACTCTACCATTTGAGTTGTGCTCTTAGCCCTTTTGTTTGTATTTTGTTTTTGAGATATGGTCTTATCAACTTATCCCTGGCTGGTCTCAAACTTAAGATCTTCTTGCCTCCACCTTCCAAGTAGCTGGGATTACAAGTATGTCCTGCCACAACTGGCTTATAAATATTAAATTAAGTAGGTAAAAGCTCCTGGCACTCACCCAGAGTCTTTACTCCAAAGATTTTGGAAAATAGGTTACTTTCTTCTTCATTCAGTAAACAATTCTTAAAGACACTTTTTAAAAGGGCCCATCTACATGATGGGCAACAAAAAATAAGAGGGATGTAGTCTGAAGTACTTATCTTTCCTCCTGACAAGTCAGAGAGCTGGAAGAACAGTCATACCTCTAGGTGAGGCTTACAGAATGACATCACTTCCTGCTTGCAGTTTTTCCTGACATTACAAATATGAGTTCCTGCAACTGAAACCTTAGTCCCATTCCTCTTACCTAATCCTAGGTGAAATCACAAGATTGTATGCTGTCTTTGACCTGGCAGGCCTGTTGAGGCAAGGAACACATAAGCTTGACCAGACTGACTCATTCCCGACACACAGATTCACTAATATCTAGGAAATTCAAACTCAACACACTGCCCTCAAGTCTTTGTGAAATGGCTGTTGTTCTCTTTTCTCTAGGCCTGACTTCATGCCAATAGTGCTTTGCAGGTTGAGATGAAGCCAGACATTTGCCCAGTGCCTATTCTTTTTTTTTTTTTTTTTTTTTTTTGGTGGTACTAGGGTTTGAACTTAGGGCCTCAAGCTTTCTAAGCAGGTGCTCCAACACTTGAGCTACTCCACCAGTCCTTTTCTGTGTTGGGTATTTTTGACAGAGGGTCTCATGAACCATTTGTGTAGGGCTGCCTTCAAACCATGATCCTCCTGATCTCTGCCTCCTGAATACCTAGGATTATAGGCATGAGCCACTAGTGCCCAGCCCCATGCCTACTCTTGAACAAGAATTGGATGTGGAATGTGGAAGCTGTATTTTAACTTCCTCATATTCCCCCAAGGAGGCTGAGGCTGAGGCGTGACAACATCAGGGCTTACATAAATTCATTTAAAGGAACTTGGGTTGTTTTGAGTTTCCCAGGGAAGAATAGGCATTCTGAGAAAAGAAACACATCCTGGGGACCTAGGCTAAAATACAGACTAGGCCAGAAGAGTCCTGGATATAATAGTCCCTATTCATGGGAAAGCTACAGCCAGAGGCCCAGACTGTATAGTGATTAACAAAATACAGAAATTTTTCCTGCCATCCTCCCCTCAAAAAAATCTACACATGAATGACAATGTATTTAAAATATGAACATTATAACACTTACTCTCTGCTTTGAATACTGTCAACAAATGATCTGAAATTAATTCTTCCACTGAAGATTCCAGCTTCCTTTCTCCATCAATTATCCATGGAGTTTGTGGTAGATTCCTGGAGTACTTATTGTATCTCCCTGCCAAGGAAACATGGAATGGTGTGACTGACAATATAGGGTAAGTGGAGAAGTAATAGCTATTTAATAAGCCCACTATCTCAGGAGCTATGATATAAAACAAGGCCTAGCCCCTGATTCACAATCTGACTTCAGGAGCCAGCACAAAGACAGGAAGATAATAAAAAGATTAAAAATAATAATGGAATAGATGGCCAAAGCCGTGATATGAATGAGTTTGAAAGTAATAATGTTCATTTAACAATTGGACTGGCTGACTGAACAAGCTACATGACATTATAGAACACATTAAGAGTCATTAAAGAACACTCTTGCTTTTACACATAATATTTTCAATATAAAAGTGATTGGTGATAATGTATTGCAAAGAATTCAAATACAGGAAAATCTGAAGTGTTTGTAAGCTAAAAAAAAAACAAAAACCAAAAATCCCTAATAGACTATGACTCACTGTTTTATGATGCAGGCAGCTGCTATTGCCATAGGCAAAAAAGGCTACAGCACAATTTTACTTTAGCTATTACTATGAAGCAGTTGTAACTTTTAAAACAAATAACAACAACAAAAAAATCATCTGCTATACTGCCACTTGGAAAAGTCAATGCAACAAGTTTTTCAGGTAAAAGCCAAGTGGTTAGTCATTTGGAAGGTGGTAAAATTATTTTTTCAACTTTGCTTTCCATGTTAGAAAACATCTCTTACATTATAGTCTTTCTCCTGACCAGTTTTGAATCTCTATCTCTGCCCTTATTTCTTTCTACTTGGCTATCTCCGATGCAAACTACTAAAACCCAGGAAGGGTCACATCCCTTTGGCATGACACTGTAAGTAATAGATTTCTTGAGGATCTTTTAAAAAGTCTACAGAACCTAAAACAAATTTGGCTATCAATTCTACTACTCAAAAGAATAAACTAACCAGAACCTCGTAACAATAATAAGAATAGAAGAGAAGAGTCAGTTGAGTTGTTCAGAAGGACAATAGGGGGGCAGTGTATGCATATTCTAGACTAAATATTTTACCAGCCACAAAAACAGCACCATGAGCACATTCAATTTCAAGAACAGTGCACACAGCCTTTGGTGAGTTTGGAGGACAAGGAAACTGCCTGCAAAACAAAATAAATTTTACAGATACTATTTTCCAGACATAATATTGAGTCACAAAACTAAGATGATCAGCATTGTCTGAGACACACACACACAGAACCCAAGTCTCTCAAGAACTACAACTCTCCCTAACTTTTAGTTTCAGAACAGTAACTGTCTCTCAGTCCTCTGGAGTACCACTTTTAACACATGACAATGTCACTAACTAAATCAGGGCTCCAATACAACCTTTCATGCTCAGTGGGACCTCATCTTCCAAAATGATGATTTTTAACAGCCTTCAAGATTTGGGGGAAATCCATAGCTAAAGTGGAAACCCCTCCAGGCTCTTCAACCATTTTGCTCTCAATGGTCATTTGCTGCTTGCTTTAATGATCCTCAATTATTTGGGTAAAGCTGGTGTGTAGTAAATGACTGGTCCCATCTGTGAGTACATTCCACCTACGGGAACTATGTCCCACATCTGGGGGTGGGGGACTCTACCATTTTTCCCTTTTCTTCCTTCTTATTTCAACTATGACCTTGGGAATTACACCACAGAGTCTGAAGTAGAAAGTAGCTGACACCACCCTCCAGGACAGGCAGGAAAGAACAACATATGACTTTGTTCTCTGTCCATCATCTAGGAATTTCCAAAGCCACAAGCTGTACTGCACTTATAAATGACTAAATGCAGAGTTAACCCCAAATATGTGGCTTGAAAATTTCCTATGGTTTTCCTAGATGCCTGAACAAAGAAATCATTTAGAAACTCAGGAACTAATGCTTGTATAAAGTGACTATCTTTACTTTCTAAAATTTAATGGAAAGGATTGGCAGAATGGCTGAAGGGGTAAAGCGCAGGACCAGCAAGCATGAGGGCCTGAGTTCAAGCCCCAGTACTGCCAAAAAATTTTTAAAATAAAAATAAGGTTCAAAACAGTAAAATTTAATGGAAGTATTTCCATTGTGACTCATTTTTAGTTAGTAAAAGATATGAAATCCTCATCATAATGTCATTGTTTGAAATTTATTCAAGAATCTTCTGGAAGGATAACTACAATATTTTATTTAGTACAATAAATGCACTGAGAATTAAAATATAAGTCTCATTGTATTTCAGCATATTTTAACAACTTGTATTTTCAAAAGACACTGATGTCAAAATATGGCATTGGCTTGCTCAAGATTTCAACTGGGGAACAGAGAGTGGACCTATATAACCTGGTTTCCTGACTCTCCTGCCAATGCTTCCCATTACAAGTAATGACGCTCCCAAGCCTTCTACCTTTTCTGGGGATGGACCATACTAGGAAATAACAGAATTAGGCATGTAATGGGAATAGCACTGGGCCAGAGGTCTACTCTCTATTACTCAGTTGAAAACTTAGGTAAGTCAACTCCCTCTTTGTGAACATAAATATCCTCTGATGAAATTAAAGAAAGTTGGACTTGATTCATAATTTAAGTATTAATTTGACAAACATTTGTTCAATACCACTGCATATGAGATACTACACTGGGGTCTGGGGGTGTAAGGATGACTAAGATGCAATTCTGGCCCCTGAAATATGTCCAGTCTTAACTCAGCAATAAGTGAAGTTATCATGAACATTCCCTTTATTCCAAAATTCCATCATGCTTCCTTGCTTCTACACTTCTACTTACTTGCGGAAATCTTCTTCTTTTATCTTAGTCAAAGCTTTCATAACTGCCATTCTAGTGAATACCGACTATATAGGGTAAAATGAAAAGACAAGACATTTTATCACCTCAACAAGAACACACCAGAGCTCAAACACAGAACATGGTTGGAGAAATCTTATCATTTTATATACTTAAAAGCAAGAAATAGTGAAGTCTCAAGAAAATAAGTAAAACTTAAGTGCTCATGTCAGTTTTCAGTGTGATCTATGTCCCCAGTGATAGGCAGATTAGGCAGAACAAGTCTCCTTCACTGACTGGACCATTCTTCTCAAAATGAGGTAGTCTTCACACATGAAAATAATGACATTACAGGAAATGTGCTTTGATTCTTTTTTCCAGACCTCAAAAGGAATTTAGACTGACCTGTCTACCTTTTCTTCCTTACCTCCCTTTAGAAGCCACAGTATATAATTCAGGAGTTGGCTTCCAGGGTGAGGGGTAAATGAGAGGCAACAGTCTTCTCTGGCATCTAGCAACTCAATGTCACTCAACAGCCACAAATAAAATAAGTAAACCCACTGTACTGAAGAAAAGGGCATTTATAACAGTGCCCTACTTGTTGTTTTTCAATAAAAAGATGCACTTTGTGGTATACAATTCATATATTAATGCATATATACATGACTTGCTATGATGAATCACAATTATTTCTTCTGTTATGACAAATCACATGTGACTGAAAAGGAGACAAAGCAGGCATCATCAGTCAAAGCAAAGCTTTTTCTAAACCACATTCTGGCATACTCTAGGGAGTTCTACAAGGTACCAAAGGGTCAGAACTGAAAATAAAGTGCCTATTTGATAAGATATGAAATCTTAGGCCTGAAATAATTTCAAAAGATCACTCAATTTACTCACAGCCTTAAGGCATGGAAACTACATTTGAAGATCCACAATTCTCACTGGCCAAATAGTATGCATCTAAGATGCTTTGAAAAACATTTTTTATCCTATTATCTGATACTGGCACTTGTATGTTTCTTCAAATGTGACAAAAAATAAAACTAGATCTCAATATGAATATGGGTTTTCTTTTGTGGAACTGGGATTTAAACTCAGGACCTCACGCTAGCTACACAGGTGCTCTACCACTTGAGCCACTCTGCAAGCCTTTTTTGTGTTGGGTATTTCTGAGAGGGTCTTGCAAACTATTTGCCCAGGCTGGCCTCAAACTACAATCCTCCTGAGTTCTACCTCCCAAGTAGCTAAGATTACAGATGAGTTACTGGCACTCAGCATCAATACAAATGTGTGTCACAGGTCATTTGGGAAGAGCTTCCTAACTGGTGTGGCAAAGCACCAAGCTATAGTTGTGCCAACATTATCTGTCCTTTCAGTTCACAAAGGCCAGTGGACAGGGCCTGGGACAATGGGAATCCTCAAGCCTGTTGCTTCCAACCTGGAGCAATTTCAACCACTAACCTCAGGGTCCTGAACAAATATGGTCATATTTCAGTGTGGCCGTGATATAAAAGAAGCAGTGACGGACTATTTTAGTCTTAGTCTGCATTTCTAATTATTCCTCCACAGAATATTTGACACATGTCACAAACTCTCTAGCACTCCCCTCCCCCAATTTTAAAAGGCCCAATAAATTAGTGAAAGTAAGAGGAAAGACCAACAGATATATCACCTTTGACAATGAACATATTCTTTATAACAACCACAAGAACAATATAGATGTCAAGAAACTGTAGGAATCCCTGACTCTGTATAAAACAAGCTAAGTAACTGGGGCATGAAAGATTACCATTCTATCCTGGCATAATTTAAACTTATTTTATATGAAATAAATATAAAAGGACATACTAATTTGCTCATTAACATGAAAACCACCTAACATTAGACAATAAAGGAGAGTTTGAATGTAGCCTGAAATAGCTGTAGAGTATGGAATATTCTATAATTGTATAGGTTGAATATTGTGTAATATGGATATCCAAAGTCTGGATTATGAATGTTCAACCAGCAAAGTCTGTATAAATATTCCCAAATCTGAAACACTTTTGGTCCAAACATATTGGATAAAGGATACTCAACAAGTATTAATTTAGGACTGTTCTAATTTACTTTTGATTACATTTTTAAAACACCAATTTCTGGAAAATATATACTAAATAAAAGTTTGGAATGCTGCTTGATACCATAGATTTATGCAGATGATATAATTTGGGAGATTAAAAACTAAAAGTTGAGCTGGCAGAGTGGTTCTGCCTACCAAGTGTAAGGCCATGAGTTTAAACGCCAGGACCACCAAAAAAAAAAAAAAAAAAAAAAAAAAAACCTAAAAGTTGAACTTCCCCAAATGGCTAATAGTAACTTAATTGAAACACTAGTTCTAAACTTAATGAACTCAGACACTGACCAAAACATAAGGAAATTTGTGTGCTAAAACTTCCCAGCCAGAAGCAAAAATGCTGAAGAGTTGAAAAATATAAATATACAAACACAAAGATTTAAACATTGATTCTTGGTATAATCAAGTTGCCATATTTCTGATGCCTATTCATTTTAGTGTTAATTTAAATATTTAGTTTAGACAAAACTCACTAAAACTTAAGTACGAATCCTTACCTGTTTGTTTTTGGCAGGCTTGAAGCAATCTGGGCAAATTGCACCACTAAAATAAAATGCAAGTTAATGGGAAATGTTAATGAGTTCATTTTGGGACAAACAAATTCAAATATATATTTTTTACAACAAGACTGCTAAACTCAGGATCTCAGGAGCAGACAAAATGAATACCTATATAAGCTGCACTGGTTTGCATAAAGAACCTTAGGTGAGAGGGTACAACTTAAGCCTACTAAGACATGACAAGTTCTAAAATAATCATTAGAAAGAGAAACAATACTATTTTCATGAAAACCAAAAGCATTAACAATTTTACACAACTGACGTTGTTTACGAGGCAACTTACAGGAAGTGGCAATCCTCAACTGTTTCTGGGTGAGCAAAGACCACACTCACTTCAAACAAGCTCTAAAAATTATAAAGACAGTTTTTAAATGAGCAAAAGGAAACTAACATCTAACAACTTATGAATGGAAATAGAAATTAACTCTCAAAGATTGGCTCAGAAAAAGTGACAAGGAAAACTAGAAATACTACTGCTCTCAAATAAGCTTGCACACAAGGCAGCTGGAAAGGAAATTTTTTTGCTTCTTTTTTTTTAACTTCTAAAACTCAGTCACTAGTGATACTAGCAAAAAAGTTTTAAAATAAAAAAAAATTAAATTTGTATTTTTTTGGACCAATACAAAAATTAGGTATAAAAATGAGCAAGAATGCAGGGAACTGGAAAGAGATAACTAAAAGAAACAAAGAACTATCAGTACTGTGAGTGGAATCACTAGTAGGGCAAAAACATTTTATTTACATCCTTGAAAACTCTGTAGGAAGCTTATTTTTAAGTGCTCAAATTTCTTAATGGATTTAAGTTTTAAAAGAGAGCTCTTTATTTTTTGTTTTATTAAAAAAGTGATTCCTCCAAGTTACAAAATAATCAAGTGCCAGATGGCTTTTCAATCCTACTCCACTCTGACCATTTTTTATGAATACAAACATATGTATACACTTCTTGAGATATTAGACATGCTCTTGGAAAACTGCTTTATTTAATCTTACTGAAATGACATCTTTCAAGTCTAAGGAATGTCAGACATTTAGTTGTAGAAAATTTTTCTAAAGTTAAATAAATGCTACAATGAATTCTCTCATACATTATGAAAGTACAATTTCATACTCGATATAGTTTTAGCTCTGCAGAGAATATAAAAAATTCCACATTAGAAAGATGCTATAAATGACATACCATGTTACAATTTATCTTTTTTATTGAGTTCTATATTTAATGAGTTTTGTATGTACTGAGTTCACTGGATCATTAGAAGCCTGTTAACTACTCTAAAATTACAATAATAAATAGCTTTTTTTTTTGCTCCTATTCTAACCTGTGAAATAAAATTAAAATGAACCACACATTTCCTAATAAAGAGAATTTCACTCAGCCTGATCTATTAAAACACTATTACATCTTTTGTTTTCTATTTTCTGTTCTCACTGATTCAACACGTAAAATTATTTGTGCTTCAAAACTGAAATTTGAGGTAAAAATATTTTGCATTAATCACTTCTCTAATTTCCAAAGTACTTTCATTACCTCATTTCCTGTTCATACTATCCTGTGAAGTAGTTTTATTCTCTATTCTCTCAGTATTCAGTTTAAAGGACAGTCAGAACTTATTCTTACTAACAGAGAATATATAATTTAGACTCGTTTTTTTTAAAACCTTAGCTATTTAGCTTTGGAAGATGATTTTGTGATTTTACTTTAATAGGAGTATGTCTAACACACAGGGAACTTCCTTCAAACAAAAATGAAGCAATAAGGACATCCTATTAAAATCTATTTTAAGATGAGCCAGGGATATGTCCTGATTTCACATCCAGAAACCTGTTGAGCTCTTCCCTGAAGTTCAATCCATTCCAGAGATTGAGGCGAGATCTTCTCTGGAATTAGGAAGGTGGCTAAGTGTTCTGGTTTCAAAAGCAGTCTCTGCCTAAAAGTAAACAAAGGGACTTGAGACAGCAACAAGTTCAGATTGGACTGAACTTCATTCTCACTGAAGGTGAATAGGGACTGTCTATGTATTTGAAGATAAGATCAGTCAGAGATAAACCAAAATTAAATAGTCTAGAGTTGACTCTATACTTGCTCAGTTATTTGTGTTTGCTTTGTGTCACTAAATCTGTTCCTCCAATTAAAGGCAAAGGTTCATTTCAAACTTTTCAGATCAATAGGTATACCTTACTTGTGTCTTGGATCACAAAGTCTTTGGGAAAGAACATCAACAGGGGCTTTAACCTCAATATAACACTATGAGAAATTAATATTTTTACAGCTTAGAAATCCTTTCTGAATTATTTAAGGAAAAGATTCTTTTGGCTACCCAAAACTCTGCCAAAGAATAAAGTAAAACCAATGAAGCCAGAGAATGAAAACAACACTGATGACCCAGTACCTTTCCATCAATGGGAACACCCAGTTCTTCTGAAAACAGAGGGTGAGTTATCCATTTGTAGGCTTCTTTTAGTGGAACTATATCATTTCTTCCCAGCGACAGACTATGCTTTCTGAATAACATAAAAAGTAATTCACTAACAGGAAAAACTTCATTTTTTCGTATTAAAGACAAAAACTCATCTTATGGACCTATATTCTAGCAAAATCAAGGAACTACTTTTTCTTAATGACATATAATACAATTTTTAAAGATTCAATGACAAAAATGTATTTTTCTGAGCTGGAATTGCCAGATTTCAGGACTTATACATTCTGGAAGATAAAAAAAGAGAGATAATTGTTATTGCTCAGAAACCATAAAACCATCTATTAACAATAGTCATATCTGTGTTAGAAATGCTTATACCTCCTCCCTTGCTGAAAATGGGGCTTACTTTTGAGAAATCAATGTAAAAGCTATACTTTTTTCTTTATTGCTGAGGAAGATATACTAAATACTGCAGTAACAATGTTCTGAAATGCTTATCAAAGTAGTTGATACATAAATATCTGAATAAAAACCTCACATTTCCCTAAAATCAACTCATGAGCCAACACACAGATTTGGGAAGTTTCCATTATGAAATCTAGTTTTAGTTTATCACTTAAAATTGTAATAGAAAAGATCTGAAGTAAGAGATATGGTATGGTATTATTAAAATTGCTTTATTCTGTTGAGAAACTGGGATATTACTAAAAAGTCCACATTATCCTAATAATTAAAACCTCAAACCAGTTTTATGGCTATTTACAGGACTGCTTTTAACAAAAGATCTTAGGGCCAACTTGTCTTTTAATGTCTAATTTTTACTGATAGAAACTACTCTTTTATAAGCAATGTCCATTGTAATTTAATTCTGCAAGACAAAAGGCACTACCAACTGCAGGTAGAAAATAAAAAGTAAGGTTAAATTAATCTGGAAAAAAGAATATAAAGACCACTGTTCCTCTAAAAATACAAATTAAGAAATAAATAACCTACTCATTCTACATCTAGCCAAGACTATACCTAATTACAGAAAGTGCTTTCATATGCTTTGGGATTATGGTTTAACAATGAAATACTCAGGTAAGCCCTACATTTGACAACTATTTCTCTACATTCAAGAACTTACTCAAATACTAAGCTTCATAAACTGCATCTAATTCTATAAATATAAGAAACATTTAGGTATTTTTAAAGACTACCTTTATACTGTATCAACAGTTTAATATTTGCATAGTGTCACAGTTGAAAGTACATAATTAACATATGACAATACATTTTTTGAGGATACATTTTAAAGGATAAAAAGGTGAAACAGAAAAACTTAAGAACAGAAACTATTTAAAAAGTTATTTAGACTTTAGAGTTCAAAAGGTCACACCAAAGCTAATCCTAAAAATGAGTTAAAACATTATTCATTATATATTTAAGAAAATTGCTATTTTAAATCCCTCAGTATTTTGAAATATAGAGCATGTTAGACCAGTTAAAAGACTTCAACTATAGCACTTTTCCCCTTCAGATTAAAAAATAGGAGTAAAGGAAACTTTGGAAATAGCTTGGAAACCTTATCCACATGTAGGGCAGAAATAAGTATTCAAGATGTCAGATATTCAACCCTAAAATTAGAATGTGGCTAATAGCTTTTCTAATTATAATTTACAGTAAATATGTTTATAGAGGTCCTTGGCATGTATTTCAGAGAGGTTAGCACTCACAAAGGTAAATGCAGTCCCCATTTCATACATAGTAACTGCATTTCTCACTCTCTGTCAGATAACTACTGCTGTGAATGTCAGTTTGTAATCACTTTTGCTATAGATACAACACAACCACCATTCTAAAGAAAAGAATAACCAGAATGTCCAAGGCAATTGCTTTTTCTCTAAATTTCTAAATTAAAAAATCATTTCTTGGGCTGGAAAAGTGGCTCAAATAGTAGAGCGCCTGCCTGGCAACTGTGAGACCATGAGTTCAAGCCCTAGTACTACCAAAATATAAAAAAAAGAGAAATTATTTCTTTTATGAAGATTCTTCTGTTATCTTTTAACCTAGAATGAACTAAGGACACTGAAGAAAAAGACTCGTGTCCTATATTTTTTGGTTCCAATATTTCTATTTGGGTCAAGTTCTTTTCAAAGAAACTAAGCTTATTTTAAAAATTCTTTGATAAAAAGAGGGGGAAGGAGTAACTCATAAGCAAAATGGTTGCAAACTAAAAACATTTAGGAAATACATGTTTTTACTATGGTAATAATTTTCTAAAAATATAGCATCAAGCTTTGTTATTACACCTTTGAGACTAATTTAATAAAACCTAATTAAACCTCCAAACCTTTGGTAAATATGTGGTTATTAACCTTTGAAAAGTACAGATGTGAAATATAAAACAAAACAAAATTACTTTTTCTATAAATCATTTAACCAAGTATGAGTTTCTACTTCAGAAATCTATAGCTCTGGACTTTTCTCAACAGAGTATACAGGAACCTCCAATAGTCACATGGTCCCTTCTATGGTACAGAACTTTCAGTTTCAAAATCCAACATGCTATGAAGAATTAAGTGTTTTTTAAAACAGCACCAAATCCCGATTTGAACATATGAGATAATTTACTTTGTTTAGCAAATTTGGTGTAAATATTATTGTTTCATTGCAGAAATATTAATGTTTAATTATACATTAAAGAAAGGAGCATATTATATATGACTTCTAGCACCATATTACATTCCTAGAATTCAAAGATTCTAAATTCTAAAATGCATTTGGCCTGTAAGGATTCCAAGAATTGTACATTTATGTTTTCTATGTGGTATCTGTGTATAAACTCACTGTTCTGCCTTAACCAGAATTTTACTGTTCATCATTTATGGCTTAGTTTGTACTTTAGTTTCTAAAACAATGCAAAATGTATTATCTTAGGTAATAAATCTTTATGTAAGTGTCTAAAGCATGTAAAACATATACTTATATTCACATTAAAGCTACACATACAAAAAAATGAATCCATTTCAATAGATTACTAATATGCTATATAAGTAACCTAACTGAATAATGCTAAATTTATACAATAATAATTGTTTCTTTGTGCCAATTTCTCTAGTAGCTAGTGAATTTACTCTGCAAAAAGGAGACAGAAGTAATAAAAGTACCTTAAGAATCAGGTAACTTGTATTTAAATGGTGATAAAAACTCCCTACCTAAATTACTTACCCCATTTCCTGTTTTACCAGCAACCATGCAGCATGCTATAGGCAATTTAGTCACACCCAGAAAGAAGAGAAAAGGGGGGAAATAGTCAGTGAAGTAAAGTTCCAACATCATTACCAAAGTGCTGAACTAATTTGCTAATCAAATTCCCCTTATTAGAAGAAGAGTGTTTAGGAATGTTGTAGTCATCTCAGACTCATTTAAAATAAAAAATGAGGTAAGATTTCACTTCATAATGCTGACTTACTATGGCGTAGGAATTCAATGGGGGTATCCCCTCCTCCCTACAGATTTTTATTTTTCATTAATGGGGTATGAGTGATTTTAACATGGATAGAATGCATTTTTTTGAAACATCTAATTATTTCTTGGGGAAAAGCCCCAAGTGACTGAGTACACAGTACTCAAAACACAGAATTAAAGGCTCTAGCTTTCTGTTTTTGTTTTTTCAAGAGGGATAACATGCTGGGCACCTATAATCCTGGCTACTTGGGAGTCTGAGATCAGGAGGACTTCAGTTCAAGGCCAGGCCAGACAAATAGTTCACTAAACTCCATCTCCAAAATATCCAGAGCAAAATGGACTGACTGGAGGTGTGGCTCAAACAACAGAATGCCTGCTTTGCAAGCCTGAAGCCCTCAGTTCAAACCCCATTCCCACCAAAAATAAATAAAGTAAAAAAAGTAGGGATAACATATTTTGTAACTCTATCTAGTTCATAATACTTATATGTTCAGGAGTTAAATGTAGTAAATACCTGCAACTCACTTTGAAATACAACAAAAGCTAAGATGGACCAATGGATGGATAAATGGATTAGATATATAATAAAGCAAATGGAGAAAAACAGTAACAATTATGGAATCTAAATGTGTAACAGACTTTCACTGACAATTCTTTGAACTTTCCTATACATTTGAAGATTCTATAATAAAATGTCAAGGAAAATGTTCTGAGAAGGATTCATTTTAAAAAGTTGTTAAACTGAAGGTAACATTCACAATCCTGGATGTTATGAGGATTAAATGAAATTTATGTAAAATGCTTTGCATAGTAAATATGTGCCACTAAGATTATTCAGTTTTCCATTAGACTCCCATAGCTTTCACTTTAGAAAAAGGATATACACAGTACACAGCATTTTGTGACTATTTCAAGAACATACACATATAAATCATGTTTTTATATGTCATATGACCAGTCATTATCACTCATATCCACTTCAAGATTCAGCTTAATGTATATATTTATGATTCATCTGTACAGGCCTGTCCTTGTTAATAAACAGGACTTCCTTCAAATGAACAGCAGGGCACTAGAGATTTCTAAAGACTTAGATCACTCAGAAACATTAGGTACATTAATTAGTATATTAATATGTTAAGACTTGAACAACATTCAATAAATCCACCACTAGGTAAGTAAGAACTGTTCCCAATGCACAATATGTTATTTGTTTACTCTATCCGCTTCCTTCACCTAATACTATTTGTGGAACTACAAGGCTGCTTCATTTATTCAAATCCTATTTCAATGTGTATGGGTATGGTATAATACACAAATTAGTAGGAGTCAGAAAACCTGGCTTCAAGCTTTACTTAATTTCTGGGATTCAATATCCTAATATGTAAAATGAGAGAGCTGGACTAAGATTACTGTAATTTATGTTTTTCTGATTGGCTAGAAGCTATCACTGATAGACATTCATTAGTACACTATTTTATAATACATGCAATTGAGACTAACAGGAATTTTGAGATCACAGAAACAATAAAAATGGTATTCCAAAGCTGAATGCTTGCAGTTAATGTTATCCCCTCCTTCCTTCAGCTTCATACCTTAAGAGATCAATAAATACTTATTTCTTCACGTATGCCAGGATACTAATACTTTGCTTGCAGGGATATTGTGATGAGATTATATATGTAAGGAACTAAGTAAGATCATGTACTTAATAATAATTATTATTGTTGCTGCACTGAAATTTTATCTATAATTTGCAAATAATACGATTCAGATTTATCCTTAAAAGACTTATAGGACTTGGTCTCATTCCTTCATATCCCCAAGCTGCTGTAGATGGTTCTGAAATCTCCTTTAAGAATGAAACCTGAGTATTGCCTTGGCTATACTCAGTCAAAAGAACAATGCAGGAGGTATCACAATACCTGACTTCAAACTATATTACAAAGCAATAACAATAAAAACAGCATGGTACTGGCACAAAAACAGACATGAAGACCAGTGGAACAGAATAGAGGATCCAGATATGAAGCCACACAACTATGAGCAACTTATCTTTGACAAAGGAGCTAAAAATATACGATGGAGAAATAGCAGCCTCTTCAACAAAAACTGCTGGGAAAACTGGTTAGCAGTCTGCAAAAAACTGAAACTAGATCCATGTATATCACCCTATACCAAGATTAACTCAAAATGGATCAAGGATCTTAATATCAGACCCCAAACTCTTAAGTTGATACAAGAAAGAGTAGGAAATACTCTGGAGTTAGTAGGTATAGGTAAGAACTTTCTCAATGAAACCCCAGCAGCACAGCAACTAAGAGATAGCATAGATAAATGGGACCTCATAAAACTAAAAAGCTTCTGTTCATCAAAAGAAATGGTCTCTAAACTGAAGAGAACACCCACAGAGTGGGAGAAAATATTTGCCAGCTATACATCAGACAAAGGACTGATAACCAGAATATACAGGGAACTTAAAAAACTAAATTCTCCCAAAACTAATGAACCAATAAAGAAATGGGCATGTGAACTAAACAGAACTTTCTCAAAAGAAGAAATTCAAATGGCCAGAAAACACATGAAAAAATGCTCACCATCTCTAGCAATAAAGGAAATGCAAATTAAAACCACACTAAGATTCCACCTCACCCCTGTTAGAATAGCCATCATCAGCAACACCACCAACAACAGGTGTTGGCGAGGATGCGGGGAAAAAGGAACCCTCTTACACTGTTGGTGGGAATGTAGACTAGTACAACCACTCTGGAAAAAAATTTGGAGGCTACTTAAAAAGCTGGACATCGATCTACCATTTGATCCAGCAATACCACTCTTGGGGATATACCCAAAAGACTGTTACTCCAGAGGCACCTGCACATCCATGTTTATTGCGGCACTATTCACAATAGCCAAGTTATGGAAACAGCCAAGATGCCCCAGCACTGACGAATGGATTAAGAAAATGTGGTATCTATACACAATGGAATTTTATGCAGCCATGAAGAAGAACGAAATGTTATCATTCGCTGGTAAATGGATGGAATTGGAGAACATCATTCTGAGTGAGGTTAGCCTGGCTCAAAAGACCAAAAATCGTATGTTCTCCCTCATATGTGGACATTAGATCAAGGGCAAACACAACAAGGGGATTGGACTATGAGCACATGATAAAAGCGAGAGCACACAAGGGAGGGGTGAGGATAGGTAAGACACCTAAAAAACTAGCTAGCATTTGTTGCCCTTAATGCAGAGAAACTAAAGCAGATACCTTAAAGCAACTGAGGCCAATAGGAAAAGGGGACCAGGAACTAGAGAAAAGGTTAGATCAAAAAGAATTAACCTAGAAGGTAACACACACGCACAGGAAATCAATGTGAGTCAATGCCCTGTATAGCTATCCTTATCTCAACCAGCAAAACCCCTTGTTCCTTCCTATTATTGCTTATACTCTCTCTACAACAAAATTAGAGATAAGGGCAAAATAGTTTCTGCTGGGTATTGAGGGGGGGAGCGGGAGGGGGTGGAGTGGGTGGTAAGGGAGGGGGTGGGGGCAGGGGGGAGAAATGAACCAAGCCTTGTATGCACATATGAATAATAAAAGAAAAATGAAAAAAAAAAAAAAAAAAAGAATGAAACCTGAGCTAGGGAGAGCGCCCTTTTTTTGAAGGAACCTCAGACTCCTCTGTACTCTTTAGTGACCCTTGTCTCTTCTTTTGAGGCAAACTCTGTTCTCTACAGCCACTTCCAGGTGATGTCATCAAAAGAGCAATGTATGCTGCCATCCTCTGATTATAAAGTAGGGCAAACTGGAGGTTGCCACGGGAAACCAGATAACCATGTGTAACCTGAAATTAAATCAAATGTCTTTAGTACCTGAGACGTGCTAAAGTTTTTTTCTTCCTAAACCTCTGCAGACTCCCTGCTCAGGGATGCTAGCAAGTTGGAAAGAACTAATCACACAGCAGGGGCTAGAAGGCTAAATCCCAAGAAAGTCAGTATTACTCAATTATTCAATTTTTACTACATGCTAATAATGCCCTGTACCTGCTTCTGCCAAGGAAGAAAAAGCATATTTCTCCCTTTCAGGTCACCAAGATAATTTTAATAAATGTTCTGTTCCTTACACAGTAAAAAAAAAAAATCCAATTTCTCTAGAGTAAGCAATTAAATTCTTCCTCCCCAATAGAACCAAGTGGCATTAAAATTATCCAGTTTAATCAAATTTGATACCAGAGGCAGTATGTCACCTCCTGAAAACTCCGGAACCATAAAATTTAATCCTGGATTCTGCTTTAACTTTGAGACTTCTAGGCAAGTCCTAAATGATGCAGGTGAAAAAGTGTTTGTATACTCTAATAACACTAAGACAGATGGACACACACACACACACACACACACACACACATATCATAGATAAATAAGAAGTTCTATGCCTAGGAATGGCTCTTGAGCTTAGAATTCTGAACTGGAGGTTTATCTAGCACCAAACAATGAGAGTTGGTGACAGTGGGACTAGAGATAAGAGACTAATTCAAGCAGAGCTGGCAGGAAAGACAGATGCGGGGCATTTAAAATGGCACATTGGAGGACTACAACTGAGTAAAGTTGAAATTTAGGGTACGTGTGTATGTGTGCATAAACTAGGATAGGGGTTCAATGATAAGAGATGAAACTGGAAAGGTCGGAACATTAGGACATGAACCTAATGTTCATAACCTAAGAAATGTCACATTTATGTACATACAAAGTTGTGTGGCACAGAGAAAGAACACTTGATCCTTGAATCTTCTGT